TGACTCGGGAGCATCCGTTTCGCGACAAATATCTGTTCTACCGGTTCCGGGACGACGTGGACGTCATGGGGTCGATGAACCCGACGACGGCTGAGAGGCGCGAGGCTGAGTCCCAGCTGCCGGCTGCACTGGCCACCCTGCAGCAACGCGCGCCAGACGCCCTCATCCGGCTCGTCCTCCGCAAGCCGTGAGTCCATCTCATCCTCCGCAAACGAGAGTATCACAGATCCTCCGCAAATGAGACTCCCATTCATCCTTCGCAAACGAGAGTATCACAGATCCTCTGCAAATGGGACTCCCACTCATCCTCCGCAAACGAGAGTCTCACAAATCCCCCGCAGACAGGACTCCCACTCATCCTCCGCAAATGGGTGTCACACATTCTCCGCAAACGGGAGTCCATCACATCCTACGGGTACGGGTGTCCCGCACATCCTCCGCAAAAGAGGAGTCCCACACATCCTCTGCAAACGAGAGTCCCACACATCCTCAGCAGACGAGAGTCCCACTCTTTCTCCGCACACCGTTAGCGAGACGCAGCTGCCAACCGTAAATCAAAAGTGCAGTCTTCAGACTGTCGATGCTGTCCATCATTCTCGCCTTCTTACCTATGAGATGTGACCTGATGCGCTACTCGCTGCATAACTGCAAATCAAGCACCCATTGCTCTTCACAACAGCCGCCGGCTGAACTTACCGTGACTAGCAGAAGGTCACGTCCGGGAACTTGCATTTCTCCGAAAGCTTCCGATTACATTGGCTACGGGAGCAGACTTGGAGTCTTGCTCCAATTTCGGCCACTGCATATGTCAGTGTGACAGTTTGAACGAGTTAGCGCCATGCACGTAAGGGTGGCCTCAGGACAGGGTCTCCGGCTGGGACGCAAGGCTGTTTCAGAAGAGCATTAACAACGTACTATTCCGCTTCGCAACAGCGACAGACGGAGCCAGTAAGACGCCGTTGTTTTCCATCGTTTATCCATCACGTCATCTAATGGCGTTTCACGTCGGGTCAGGTTGCAAAGCTCCCAGTCCAGCCCGGCTCCAGCACGGTTCGTCGCGTATTGAACGTCAGTCTGAAGTATTCTCTACATGTGGTGACCGTGTCGGACTGGAAGTCGGCTGCGTCTGGGCCGGACGGACCTCCAACCCCAGATGTGACCAGGTGGTCGTGCTGACCCCGCGGCGTCCCTGCAGGTCGAGCCAGCGCTCCTGCGAGGACCTGGAGATGGTGTACGAGGAGCTGATGCACATCAAGGCGCTCTCGCACCTGACCAACTCGGTGAAGCGCGAACTGGCCGGGGTCATCGTCTTCGAGTCGCACCTGAAAGCTGGCACCATTCGTGAGTTACTCTTGAGGGCGGCCATTACAGGAATGACACGTGAAGGCGGGTAAAGTCTATACACCACACATGAGGGCGGACAGCATTCATGAAACACCCAATTGTTTTTACCATCCATGACTCGGCCAGAAGGGTACTGAAAGAAGGTGAGCACCATCCCTGAGTCACACCTGAGGGCGGGAAGGTGGTGTCATCCCAATCAAGACGGGCACCATTCGTAGGTCGGCCGGAATACATTCTTATATTCAACACGCGCCGACTGACGTCAGCACATTGCGGCTGATTTAGTTGCTTCATGCGGAAGCAGAATGCGGATGCAAATTTAGTCGAGTTTCCCTTGATGACGCTCTAGGGAGAGTTGAAGTTGCCCTTAGTTGAACACGATCTTTCAAAAATGTTGCCGATGCGCTATGCATATGAATTTTGCCAGCAGCCGCGAGGCTGAGCGGAAGACGTTTAACACGCGCCCGGGTGGCCGGCTGGATACTCTTCGCTCGCGTGGGGGGTCAATTTGACCCCCTCTGAGATCTTGAAAACTAACAGCTAGAGACACCAAATTCACAGGGTGTAATGACCTGTACGTGAACTCACTTAGGTCATAGTCTGAGGTTCCTAGGTCATGACCTTCGGATCAAATAAGGTCAAAAAGGTTAAATTCCAGGTTGGTCTTTTAAATGTCCCTAGAACCTAGAAAACTGTTTCTAAGCAAAGATCACATGTTCAGTTAAGGTCAGTGACCTTGTTTGACCTTTTGAAGGCCATAGTGACCAAAACCACACAAGACTGCTATGGGTTTTGCATTTGAATAAGCGAGAAAGATTACTCTAGGCAGTATGTTTCTAAATACAACATGTTGACCTGGATCATCTTAGGTCAATTACCTCTTCTAACCTCTAAGAAGTTAATGAAAGGTGCATAATGCGGTTCCTGCTGTCAATAAATTCGAAATTAGCACCAAAAGCCATCCCATACAGCAAGCCCTAGGGCAATAAAACAGTTTGACTTTGATCTTGGTCTGACCTTCATATCTGACCTCAGTTCGATGTAATTTACTCATTCAATTGTTGTGTTGCCTAAGAAAGCATCTCAGAGGCGTATGGATTCGTCTAACACTGCGTTGTTGCATCAGATTGAAGGATTCCCTAGAAATTCACTTTGCTGAAACCATGGACTGATTTTGACCTCCCATAGGTCAACAACCTTACAAAATACATCTATATTTTTAAAATCAAACGATCTGCTATTCAATTTCCGACAACTATGCAAAATTTGGCGCGGCCACGCCACACCGTTCGGAAACCATTCAGGAATAACATTCGGGGGGTAAATTTAACCCCCACCCGAGCGCGTGTTAAACCACGGCCGCCTGGGGGTCAGAAGTGTATCAATGACGTGTGATTACGGTAGCTTGCATCACGCATCACTCCACATTTGCATATTGCAGCAGTTCGATGTAGGTTCAAATTTCTCCGTGAGTGTCAGGAATTGCTTCTGAAGCCTGCTGGGCGGGTCCACCACAATTTCAGTACCTTAAAGTTGACCAAGCTGGAACCTTCTATAAAGAAAACTTTTTGAAGTTTGTTTAGGGCATTGATTTATTATGTCATTAGTAAAGAACTACTGTGGTTTTGTCTCTTGACTCCCGCTTCATCTTCCCGTTTTGGGCTGCCATCTAGATGTAATTTAGCAAATGTTTTGGCTGCCTGTCAGTCAGTCATCCAAACAACAGACGTTTGCACCAACTCAGCACCGTAGGTCATGTTAGATGGACTAATACCTGTCAAATCAGGATGGTACGTTACACACATCTAGAACAAATAAGTCGGCATAACAGACACATGTTCGTGTTCGTCTACATGCCATGTGAATGGAACGAGCAGGCAAATCTCACCAAACGAGGTTACTCGACCTTGCACTGGCATGGCTGTGACTTTGCCCAGAATTTTTAAACTCATGGTACGATTCTGAAGCGCGGATACTCACTTCTGTTCGATTTCGGCGGCAAAGCTGAATGATCGCTACGACCTTTGCTAAGTTGCTATGAAGCTGCTGAAGATAACGACAATTTTGCACTGACTTTTTCCGTGACCTGTGGCGTCTTCGGTCCCATTACGGATGTCTGCTTTAAGTTACTGGACGAAAATGATCAACGCTACGACTTCCGTTTCAATTTTTCTATGCGATGGGAACGGCTGGGTCCAAAGCCGCTGTAAGCATTCACTTATTCCGCGGCGGGTGACTTAATGCCTAGACAGTACGGGCTAAAACACTAGATTCATCTTGAGGAGGTCTTAACAGTATTACGTCACTTACAAACCGGTCGTATCGCTGTCAAGACCGCCAAAACTGCCAGTGGGCTTACTCATTTAAAAATGTTTTTGATCATAAAATATGGGGTAATGCCAGATCAAATGTATAAAATCCCAGAGCCTTTTCCTGATGGTATGGTGCATTTGTTTTTAGTAGGAGTTGTCTCTTTACACTGCGATAATTCTGTCAACTTTGGCTTTAACTCTGGTCGAATGAGAGCCTGTACCACTTGACGGTGCTTTCATTTGGGCAGCGTTTCAGTCCATGTCATTACAGCTCAGCACTGGGCTGTTGTTGTTGTTGATTGGAGTTTTAGGGCGCGTCGACTACTGCGGTCATTTTGCGCCCAGCACTGGGCTGAGCGTTGCCGGCACGTAAATGTAACCAGATAGCTCCAGCGATGGCAGGGGGTGCCGTGGGTGCAGTCAGTGGTTGCAGTCAGTGGGTGCAGTCGGCTACCCTCGTCGGGTTGCCGCACTTCCAGCGCTCCGCCGCGCCCCGCACCTCTAATTGACCAGGCCGGCAGCGTCCGCTATGTCTGACGACGCGGAGCGAGCATTATTACAGCGCGGCAGGTCGCACCGGCCGGCCGCGCTGCCGCCGCCGACCCCCGAAACGGTTTGTGTCGAGGCAGCGGCTAGCGGTCGGCGGCCGGCGGCAGCTGACCCCTCCCAGGCGGCCTGGGCAACGCTTGGCAGAGGGCCGGTGCTCCGTTGCACGGCGTCCATGCCGCCCACGGCTGCGGGTGACACCTAGAGACTTAACCAGTCCGTCTCTCGCCTGATTTAACAGCCCATGGGCAGTGCGAGGAAGCTCGGGAACAGTGCATCGGTGTGACAGTTATTGCCGCTCGGATGGCCGATCTTTCTCCAATCCACACAGATGGCATCCGTAGTGGAAGTCAGTTGAACCCGGCCTAAGCAATGGCACTTTGTGCTGGTAGTCACCCAAATTAGCGTTGGCTGTGCGATATTGGTGAGAACCGCCAATAAGGCACACTGGATACAGAAGACGTTGACACCCGTTCTGGGGATGGATATTGGCTTTACATTTGATTAACGTCCTCCGTCGCCAGAGGACCAACGTGTCGTTAATTGTGTCTCCTTTCGGTGTGGACCCATCTGGATGTTCCGTTGCAGTCGATTGTCGCACGTCTAGGTTCATGCATTGTTCAGTTGTTCAAGGACTCGTGCATGTTGTCTCTGATCGCGCAGCTGATGAACTGTGGGGCCGATCGTAAAGCACTTTAGCGACGTTTTCCCGAACCCTCGACATGGAAATTAACATGTCATACACACGATGTTTATTGTGACGTAATATGTCACATGCCGCCTCCGACGCCCGTCCACAATGGCACTCCGCGTGAATGAGTGCCTGCAAGGCTCGTCCTCCTCGCGAGACCCGGATGGTACGACCGGTGTGTCACCTGTTCACAGTGTTCCACCAGGGGGACGAGGGACAGTCGTGGTACATCATTCTGCGCGGCTCCGTAAACGTAGTCATCCACGGCAAAGGCACCGTCACAACGCTCAGCGATGGAGACGACTTTGGGAACCTGGCCCTCATCAACGACGCGCCAAGGTACATCTGCGCGCCGCTGAGGAGGCTCGACGGGCATCGGGGAGGAGGAAGGGGGGGGGGGGGTAACAGATGCGTATCGCTGACGCAATGTGGGGTAGCGCCATTTGTTGAGCGCTTCAGAGAAAACGAGACATTGGGGTGTAAGTGGGTCACGATGTAGCTGCAGGTGCTGAACAGAAATAGCGCAGTTAATCAAGTAGAACAAATGAGAATCAAGAACATGACATTGAATTTGTATTCTACACTACACCAGTGATCGAAAGCCTTGAGGGCTGTCCTCTGCAGCAACCACGGTCGTTTACCTAGACGTAGAGGTCAGGCAGTCCGTTCCCGTAGTCAGACGTAATTCACTTAACGTTCCACGTTTTTAGAACTACTGACGTCATTTATACCCAGCCCATGCACAAGTGATGCGTAAATATTTCGAGAACTACAAGTGACCCATCCCCTCAGCTACAGCGTCAATTCGGACACGACCAGTCTGGAACCTACTCTAACGTCGTAAAGACGTTTCATGATCTAAACAAACGCTCGCGTATTGATTAAAATATTTACTAGATAGTTAAATTTTGTTGTCTAGCACAGTCTTTTACACATAAAAGCAAATACATGGTTACAGGTGAGCTTATTTCATCATATCTGATACTGGTCTCAATATTTTAAAACGTGAAACATCCCCTTTAAGCAATTTTAGGGAAAACCAGCCAACACATGTTGAGCAAGTCATTGCTGACATCTTGGTAATCTTCCCGCGCAATTTTCCGATTGTGTGCGAAATTCAGTCAATACATGGAGCGAACATGAACTGTATGCTGGCGAACGTCGTAATGCCTGGTGCTACAGTATCGTCCATCACGGGAAGCCATCTGGACCTACGAAAATAAAGAAATGTCTAGTGCTGTTCCAAAATTTTGAATTATGGACTCGCAATCAAGTACCTTCTCTATGATGTCCCGTTGGTGATACATTTGCATACCTCAGTGATATTAGCATTAATATCAAGTTTCACCAGAGCATGTTTTGAAATTTGCTGCAAAGGTGGCGCACTCCACGCTCATCCGATCTTCACATAAGTTTCTGATGCAGCTCGTGAAAAGCAATTCGAGCTTTGCAACAGCCGCCAAAGAATTCCTGGATTGTGATATAAGTTATAGTTTGTATTGTTCTAGGTTAAGTTCTAGATATAACCAGAGTGGTGTCGTCAGCTGGAATCAAAATAACTCCGGGACACTTGATGATGCATATATAAATGCAAATTTCACGTAAATCCATATGTTTATTCTCTTAGATAAATGCTGTCAATGGAACCGTTGCAGGTTTATATAATTTTTTGTGCTCAATGATTTCCAAAATTGTTCTCTGAGAAACACCAGCTGGCAGAAGGGCCAGCTCGTGTTTCTTGGACAAGCGAAAGTAGGCAAAACGTTAACTGACAAGTTCAGCTCACATAACGGGCACGGTTTCATAACTCATTTCTTATACAGAACTTCTTGCGTTGCTGTTGATGCATAAAATTTGCTAATTTAAGCATTACAACTGGTATAATTCACTGTCATCTAGCTTTTTCTGGAAAGGGTAATATGGTTTCCTGTCATCTGTTTTTTCTGGAATTGTTCATCTGAAAAGTCAGTAAGACAGCTTCATTCGATATGGTCTGTGTTGTAACCTCGGCTCGGCATTACCCATTGTTTCTTCTATGTTGCGTATCATAAATTCATAAGTTCATTGTGACCATTTCAGTAAAGAGACGGACGTGGATTTGTTTTCACTCTGACTACTGCTGACAGAGTAACAACGTCCCACTTCCGGCATGATCAAACGCGTAGAAATTCAATCATACCATGTATGCAGATGCACGCACAGATGCTTGACTTGCATATTACAGTCGGCTGCGTGTTGCATAATATACGAGCGTGCCGAGTAGCTTACCAGAAATGCGATGAAATTACGCTACCGATTTGAATATGCTCCATGCTCCACCGCATTCCCACTTGCATATTCATGCCATGGTAAATACGAGTACGAAGACATTCTGGAATAATATTGCTTTCACCTAGCTTAAGCAGCGCAAAAGTTTCCAGTTTTCCCACTTCAGATGAACTGTTATCGGGCGGCCATACATAAGCATGCGCGGTTGGCGCCGTCGCTGTGGTCGGCCCAGTCGTTGTCTAATGGCGGTGTCCGTCTGTCTAATGGCGGTGTCCGTCTGTCTAATGGCGGTGTCCGTCTGTCTAATGGCGGTGTCCGTCTGTCTAATGGCGGTGTCCGCGCTCGCCAGGGCGGCTACCATCGTCTGCCGGGAGAACAGCTGTTTCTTCTTGAGAGTGGACAAGGAAGACTTCAACCGGATCCTGCGCGACGTCGAGGCCAACACCGTAAGGCTCAAGGAGCACGGCAAGGACGTCCTGGTGCTGGAGAAGCTAGCTGAGCCCGGCTCGGCTGCCCAGTTCAAGTGAGTCGCGCGTCGCTGGCATATCACGCGCCAGAATCGTGACGTCAGCGTTCAAGTGAGTCGCGCACTGTTCATAAGCCACGCACTTGCGTCGTCACATCACTGGACAGAGGCGACGAGCCTGCCTCCCCGTGCGGTTCGAAATCGTGGACGCGGGCCAGAACTTAATGGACACTACTGAAACTTATATGGTTTTCCGTACTAAGCTGTGAGATTGGAAAACTGAGGTTCAAACATTATTTTCAGCGAACGTTCCAACAGAACTGGTAGCTGTGCAGCGGTGGAATGTCTCGTGACAGTGATGCAGGCACCGAATTGTCACCAAGAATCTCTGCCGGGCAGACCACTTTACTCAGCATCTGCGATCGCCTGTTTTGCTATGCAGTAACAGCTATGAACTATGGTTGTAATACTTCGTTTTCCCCATTACAATGTCCATGTTGATTCCCGGACAGAACAGTCGAAAGGACAAAAGCAATATTTAAAAGCCGTAACGAAAATACACGAACACAATGGTACAAAAGACTACAAGTCGACAAAGATCAAGTTCGAATCGGGCCAAAACCAAGGAACAAAAATCAGGTGAAATAAATTTCAATGGAGATGGAACTCAAATCTGAAGCAGATCGAAAGATAAAAGATCGAGCCAGTCAAAGGTTGCTTACAATGATACAAGGCTAAACGGCAAAAGTTTATTCGGAAAAAGTTGAAGGACAAAAACTCAGAAGGGATCAAAACAAATCTGCACTATGCACTACTAAAATATCAATGAAATATGCACATTTATGAGCCCTGCAGAGGAGCAAAACTCAGAAGGTATCAAATCGAATCGCAAACATCCAAAGGAATAAAGTCGACGGCGACAAAATAATAGAATACACTGCAAAGGCCAATAGTCGACAGGGCTTACACTTGTGTTGAAAAAGTCGTGAGGAAAAAATGTAAACAACAACGGATGTAACATCGAAAGATAAGTTAACGAACAACAAACCGGCATTGATGAAATCGATTGAAGGCAAGAGATTCTTCATGGTTTGATGTCTGGCAAGAAAGTGATTTTCCCGACTGCACTGGGATGCGCCCGCTGGCTCAATGGGTTAACTCCTTATCATCCCTGGCCCGCCCACGCCTACCCAACAAACGTTCCCAGCAGGAAGCAACCCCTTGAAACTTTACGACCAAACCATACCAAATGCGTGTAAAGACTATGGCTGGTCAGGTGGCTGATCTGCTATAGATAGCCTGCTAGCTACAGACGCCCACGGATGGAGGCGGCGCAGAGCGGCGGCAGCTGTCGCTGCTATGGATAACCTGCTAGCTACAGGCGCCCACGGCAGGAAGCGACGCAGAGCGGCGGTGCCTGTCGTTGCTATGGATGGCCTGCTAGCTACAGACGCCCACAGCGGGAGGCGGCGCAGAGCGGCGGCGTCTGTCGCTGCTATGGATAACCTGCTAGCTACAAGCGCCCATGGAGGGAGGCGGCGCAGAGCGGCGGCGCCTGTCGCTGCAATGGATGGCCTGCTAGCTACAGACCCCCACGGAGGGAGGCGGCGCAGAGCGGCGGTGCCTGTCGTTGGTATGGATGGCCTGCTAGCTACAGACGCCCACAGCGGGAGGCAGCGCAGAGCGGCGGCGTCTGTCGCTGCTATGGATGGCCTGCTAGCTACAGACGTCCACGGCGGGAGGCAGCGCAGAGCGGCGACGTCTGTCGCTGCAATGGATGGCCTGCTAGCTACAGACGTCCACGGCGGGAGGCAGCGCAGAGCGGCGGGGTCTGTCGCTGCTACGGATGGCCTGCTAGCTACAGACTCGCACGGAGGGAGGTAGCGCAGAGCGGCGGCGCCTGTCTATGTTGTTAGTTGTTAGTTGCTGGACAGACACGTGCTTTTTTCCCAACGTTGGTTCCTGGTTTCCACCTCTACTGTGTGAAAGTAAGATCTTGGCTGCTTGGTTCCAGTAGTTATTTTATAAACCCGCCGTTTGGTTTCCGTATCCTACTGGTTGTTTTGCAAAAATAATATCCTGCTTCCTGGTCCTCGCTGGTTCTTTCACCAGTACAGTACTTGGTTGTCATTGGCTTTCCACAAACAAGAGATCCTGGCTTCCTAGTTCCGACAAGTCCTGTTCCAAAATACCAGGGTCTGGTCATGGCTTCCAACAGTGTGTTGTTTAATAATGTTTTGTTTATTAATGAAATGTTTTGTAATCTTTTATTCCTGTCGACTTTAATCCTGATCGACTTTTTTCGATTTGACTTCGTCCCTGTTGGCTTTTTGCTCTTCTACTTTTCACATTTGACTTTCAGCTCTGTCGACTTTTTTCGCTCGACTTTTTACCTTTGGAACTTTTCCATTCAACTCAGTGTACGGACAGTGTCCACGTTCGCTGGCAACATGATTCCGAAACCTTGAGCGTTATTCGTAACTTGCTCCATTTGTAGTGACGTCCACTGTAGTCACGTCCACTGTAGTCAGGTCCACTGTAGTCACGTCCACTGTAGTCACGTCCACTGTAGGCCTGCCTGTTGCCCCACGGAGAGCTTGTTCGGCCAAGTAGACAGGAGGACTGCTCCCCGGGGAACTGGGCGTCGCAGCGGAAGTCAGTCACCTCTCGTGGCCGGCGGCAAATGCACGAGCGCCGGCGGCTGAGAACGGAGCTGCAGCCGGCCGGCCGCGACTTACATTCAGTAATGGAGACTGAGTGCAAGTTAGAACAGGTTCGTTTGCCGGTTCCAGGCCAGCGCACACTGCTCCAGTTGCGGCCGCCGGTGTGCTTCCGGGCATGGCTAGCCGTTGGTGGTGCCGGACGCAGAAGATTCCTTGTGGATCAATTGATACTTGTGCAATCATATAGCTTATCACCAGGGGACGTGGCATGATTGTCTCGTACACTTAATGTGAGGGACAACATCTAACAGAATAAGAACATATAACAAAGGCCAAGCTCATACCCCGCGGTTGGTCGGAAAGAATTTCATATTTGTTACCTGACCCAAAGCTTACTTATGCAAAACTGTAAATAAAGAAGTAGCATGCTCCACACCTGTTCTACGAAACACAGCGATCTTCGATTTTATCCCTACTGATTGACCGATTTTGATGATTGATTCGACCTTCTAGGTCGAATCACCGTTTCTCTTAGAACGGCGTTAGTGCTTAGGTTCTCATCTTGATGATTGTCGCGTTATTCTGAAACACGGTGCCAAGAACTTCGACGTGGACTGTCATCTATGCTGTCATTAGAACCTGTCTGCACAAGAACAGTGTCCAGAAAGTGTCAAGTGTGTGCCAACAGTGTCAATGCACTGCACCAAGAACTGGTCACACGTTGGCAAACTCTGTGGCAGTCGCAGATGATTTATCACACATGCGGGTGCGCGCGAATATCCGAGCTTTGCGCTATGGCTCAGCACCGTGACCAATAAAAGACCCGGAACATGGGTGCAAATTTGTTGCAGTGCTAAATTATGTTACTTACGTTCGTCAACGTGGGAGAAAATCTAGCCTGCGTACGTTTTTTAAGAACCTCTGAAATTTACGGTGGAGATGCACACAACTTTGAAGAGCTGGAAATAAGTAACCGACTTGTTTTATAGAGCTAGAAAAAGAGAAATATCATAGAAGTTCATTGATCTATAGCGTATCATATTGAGGTCATGTTTGCCAGGAAATGCAATTCTTAGGACAACTTTTTCTAGTGCAACAGGAGATTTTCAGACAAAACCAGACAGGTTGTTTTGGTATTGGAGGCTGGATATATTTTTCAGAGACGATTAAACAGTTTAAGTCAGGTTGACAAATTATGCCGATTACTTTGGTGCAGCACTATGGGTTAATTCAATGTACAAAGCAAACAACTTTTCGTCGGAAGGCTTGTTTCCTGATATAGTTTTAACGATCATTTGGCATGCACTGATCAGAATCCCTTGACTCTCCATAGGCCAGATAAGATAACTGAGCTGAATGGCTGACTGATCTCTTGCTGGAACAGTTACATTGCATAAAGTTGGTTGTGTGAGAAGTTCTAAGGGTTTTTCGTCACTAAATCTGAGTTCGACCTTGGCAAAACGTAGTTGATTCGAAAGTCCCGATTTATATATCTAAAAAGTTGACGAAAACAGGTGCTCGTTTGGGATATATATCCTCACTCTATAAATTTGGTAACTCTAGCTTTCCTACTTTAAGCATGACTCCGGAAGTGTATCATATTGATTTCTCTCCCGCCCAGCTCCACCAGGACGCGTCGTATCAAACCGCCCACCCAGGCATGCGCGGCTTGATACCCTCAAATACGAATCAGTGCGGAATTCTCAGCAACGCATGGAACGCAAATTCCCTTGCCGGTTTTGTTTTGCATTCGCTAGACGTTTCTCAAATTTTCCGTTTCAGAACACCCGCAAGGTCAGCGTGTGTTGCCTCGCCGTTTAGCCCGCACCGCCGCAGAGGCTTGCTGGGGCTTGGCGATGCACCCAACCTCGGCTGGTGCCTACTGTTGTGGCCACGGAGTTCAGCTGTGACGTCACTACAGTTGTGACGTCACCAGGTATCCAGACGTCCGCCACCGTAGCTCCAGACAGCCGACCAAACGCCTTCACCACGCTGGGCGGCCCGCTCTGATGTGTGGTCAACTTTGCCATTGATTATTGACATCAAACACACTTGGGCTTTTGGCTCGCGTTCGTCAACGAATACGCGACGTTGATAGCCAGTATTGTTGGTCGCATTTCTGAAAGACGTTCGGAATGTCACGGTGTTCACTGGCCTCTGGTGTCTGGCACCAGAAGCACAGACACGCGCGGCCGGAACATCCCCAGTCATAAAGGGATGAGTCGTCAGATTAGTCTTATCCCACGAGGTACTAGTTGCCTTCTCTAGAGTGCAAGACGTCCTGCAGCAGAATGCAACCAATATTTCAGCGTTTTGCTTACGATAATCTGCCCTGCTGGTGCTACATTAGTGCCTATCACGAAAACACTTATCTTACACCACATTGATCACACTGCTGCGATCTTTTTCATACCGGTCCAAATCACATTAGGGGACACTTGATTTGTTAGTCTAAGAAATCCGTAGTTGATTGCCATGTGTAATCCTGACTCATCTATTCAGCTGCTATAATTTCTAATCTCGGTCATCCGCTCAGGGTTTTAGTTCACCGATAGGTATCAACACTGCTTGAAGAACAGGTGGATGTAATTCCTTGCCGAACACTGGTACTAGCGTCAGCGAAGTAACTGCTCAGATGCGTATATGCACGCTCTTACCAAACGTCGGAGCATTGGATGCATTGCATCGTCGGCTGGTGTCTGGCACAGCCGAGGCACCTCCGTGTCCGCGGCAATCTGTGACAGTCAGCCGGGGTCTCCGCGCCTCCCCGTCTCCCTGTGACACCACCTGAAGGTTAGGTCATCCCATCCAGAGAGGAGAGGCATGAGCGCGAGAGGTAGTGTCTCAGAGTCTAGTTCCTCTCTATCTTTCTGACTCTCTTCTCTATCTCTTCTCTCTTCTCTTTAGGAGCGCTCTCTCTCTCTTCGCGCTCTCTCTCTCTCTCTCATCTCTCCTCTCGGGAGAGAGCTCTAGAGGATCTCTCTCGCTAGCTCTCCTGCATCTCTCGCTCTCTCTCTCTCTCTCTCTCTCTCTCTCCCCTCTTTCTCTTTCTCCCCCCCACTCTCTCTCTCCCCTCTCTCGCTCTCCCTCCTCTCTCTTTCCCCCTGTCTCTCTCCTGCTCTCGCTGCCCCCGTGACAGATCGTTCTATTTTCGCTGCAAGGCCGACCCGGTATATTGCATGGCGTCTGATTAGCGCCGTGCGCCCGCCTGCCAGAGCGACAATCACCGAAGGGCGCTTCCAGCCGCAGTCGGCCGCGTCACCGACTGGGCCCGTGCGACGCGCATTACTGCCCCGAAGGCCCTTCTTACTGCCGTGTCGGTGGCTGCGCATCTGCTGTCCCGGGAGCCTGGCCTGTCGCTGGCCGATGTTGGTTGCGCCTGATTCTGATGTCCTGACAGCCAGTCAGTGAGCCTTGCCAATATCTCGCTGCTGGTGCCTTGTTTTCGACCCGACCTAAGCACCTCGTTGAGTAGCAGTGTTGCTGTTCAGAGTTATGAGTTTTTCTGGAAATAGGTGACCATTATGCCAGGAGGTGGTGGGTAAACGATGACATCGAGAGATGATCTGGCTATATAGTAAAATGTCCGGCGTTTTAAGAAAGTCCCGTGGCCGCGACTGGCTTTCACGGCGGGCGCGGTCACCTGCGTTGTTGAACAGGGTTCGGCCGGCCACAAATTTGGGGGCACCGCAGCGAGCCACTCGTGTCCATGATTTGTTCCTAGTCAGTACACTGTCAAGATGTAGGTGGGATGCCAAGATGAGGTCATACGAGGTCAACATGACATGCAGTAAGTTAGTCATGTAATACATGCTTCCGGATTGCTTATCCCACAATATAACTACCTTTAAATTTTGCATCGGGTCATTTTAGTGCCTGACGAGATCAAAACCTGTAATTTGTCGCAACCTATTCTGACATTTGAAAGGCATTCAGTAGCCATGAGCAGGTTAGCGAAATGTATTTTGAACCCGCTGTGTAAATTGAACCCTCTGCTCATGTCTTGTCTGAAATGCAGGCTTCATAGTTTTCAAAGGGGTAAAAGTTGTAATTTGCTGGCAATAGTGGAAAGTAACCTTTTTGTGACAACTAGACAATGCCCAGCGTACAGATCACCTTTATCATTAGAGAGGCCCTCCTGGCCTCTCTGGCCTATCAGGCCAGAGAGGCCTGATCTGGTCAGGCCTATCAGGGAGGCCATAGCCAGGAATCGTCAAAGGGGCTACGGCCAGGCCTCGCCAAAGAGGCCAGGGCCCGGGTTTGTCAGAGAGGTTAGGGCCAGGGCTCGTCGGAGAGGCCAGGGCAGGGCTCGTCAGAGAGGCCAGGGGCAGGGCTCGTCAGAGAGGCCAGGGCAGGGCTCGTCAGAGAGGCCAGGGGCAGGGCTCGTCAGAGAGGCCAGGGGCAGGGCTCGTCAGAGAGGCCAGGGCAGAGCTCGTCAGAGAGGCCAGGGGCAGGGCTCGTCAGAGAGGCCGGGGGCAGGGCTCGTCAGAGAGGCCAGGGCAGGGCTCGTCAGAGAGGCCAGGGGCAGGGCACGTCAGGGAGGTCAGGCTCATGGCTTGTCAGAGGGGACAGGAGGGCCAGGCTTATCAGGGAGGCCAGGGCCCGGGCCCGTCAGAGTGACCATCGAGTTTGGCATAGTAAGTCAATCACGGAAGCTGCATGCGACGAGTGACGACGGCCAGGATGAGCCCGCACTGGCTTGTCAATAACAACACTCGCGCGCCGTACAAGACTAACACCCAGAGCTTCAGTTGAGAGCTCAGAACATGGCCAGCGGGCCCCACGTTTGTAGCCACATACTGTCCTCGTCCAACTTCGCAGTTCCATTTTATGTTTCAGGAGGTGCACGATTGTATTTAAAGAAATACTTGAAGAATTTACACATTATAGTAGATTGAATACTTTTTATCGTCAAACAACATCTTGCGGTATGTGTGTGGGTCGATTCTTTTGACTTACACATCATGTGCATCGATGGTTGACGGCGTATTTGCCCACGGCAGTGGGGTGACGCTTGTGACTGTCCAGCGGCTGACAAAAACTGACGCTTTGATCCATGTCGGTCGTGTGTTACGTTATTATTTTGCCCAGTGCCCAACTAGGCAGAGGCTTGAACGTGTGGTGGCCTGCTTTTTTTCTTGAAAATGTTCGGTGTGCAATATCTATGATAATTTGATAGTTCTTGGTACTCAATTTCTGTTCTTGCAATCATGCTCCTGTTGTGGAAGTAAACGGGTTTGTACAATCTGTTCCCTGTGACGTAGCAATGGAGGTGACGACGTGCTACAGCTTAAACGAGTTTTGTTTGTCTACGAAGAATTATGTTCTTGCTTTCGTACCTGCGTTTAAAACTCCGTTTAGTGCACCCATTCTGTTCAACCGTTGTATCGTACCGTGCACCTTGGCTAGCCGTAACAGTTGTGTGCATAGCCAGAATGATGGCGTAATTACATTCTGTTGTGCAGAGTGACAGCGAAGGTACGCTTGCAGGTATTCGGTGATGGCGGGCACGCCTCAGAAGATGCTAGAGCATCTGCTGGAGACTCGCTTCAGTGGCTTCTCCGAGACCAAGACATCCGAGATCACTATAAGTGATCTCTTCCTGGATGACTTCCTCCTCACCCATGTCATCTTCTTCCCGTTCAAGGATCTCACTGAAGAGCTCATCAACAAATATCCTTTTATTTGTTCGTCGTCTTCCTTCGTCTGTTGTCGAAGACGGACCCGGACTCGGACATGTGCGTACTTCGGTGAGCTGGCTGCCGAAGAAGCCAGCTCACAGCTCAATTAAAAGTCTCGTCTCAGCACGATTGATGTGTTGGCTAGTCCGACATGCGGTTTAAAAAAGGTACTTTCGTTATTTAGTTATCCGCACCGGTTGACGCGCGGCCAGGGAAAAAGCGGATAACAATGAAGGTAGCCCTATCGCACAGATCCAGTCCCTGAGTCGAATGTAACCAAAGTAAATGACTGAAGGACGGTGTCGTTTTTTGGACAACGTCAAATAGTTTCATAATATGGTCCAAGATTTCTTTCAAAAAGCATGCCGTAATATTCTGACATGTCATAAATTTGTCCTTTCCGAATCTCAGTTTGTTAGAGCGTCTGCCTATTGCGAACCAAACCATGGCGGGATAGGTTCGAGGCGGTTTAGGCGCTCGTTATTTGCCGTTGACTGGTATGGCATGCGGCCGGGGGCAACGATCCTACAGAAGGTCAGGTGACGTCATATAGAGGGAAGGACGAATCGTGCCGAGCATTGCGGCGTGTTCAACTTTCACCTCCAATTTGTGCCGTTGACCTGGATTTGCACGATCGGATGGTAGGGGTCAGGGTTCACACAAGTATTGCTTAGTGTCAGCTCTGATCCCAGAATTAATTCATTCAAAAGGTCCGGATTAAATCTTGACCAAAAACCACAGAGACAGACAGACAGACAGATGGACAGACGGACAGACAGACAGACAGACAGACAGACAGACAGACAGACAGACAGACAGACAGACAGACAGGACAGACAGACAGACAGACAGACAGACAGACAGACAGACAGAACACACACCAACAACAACACACACAGACAGACAACACACACACACAACACACACACACACACCACACACACCACACACACGCACACGCACACGCACACACACACAACACACACACACACACACACACACACACACACACCACACACACACACCACACAACACACACCACACACACACACACACAACACACACACACACACATATATATATAATATATATATATATATATATATATATATATATAGATATATATATATATATATATAATAATCTCTTCTCTCTCTCTCTCTCTCTCTCTCGTCTCTCTCTCTCTCTCTCTCTCTCTGTCATATGTATATATATATATATATATATATATATATATATATATATATATATATATATATATACATATACGTCAACAATTGTTTGCTATCGCTGTTTCAGCAGCATCCCTTTTAATGCTGATTGGATTGTCGGTTACTTTCAGCATACAAACTCATAACGCCGAAAAATCAGAAGCTTTGGGCATCTCTTGCTTACCTCTATGATCAGTTTTTCGTTGAGTAGGTGCCATGCAGCCGGGTGTCTGGAGGCTTGTGACGTCACTAATCTGAAGCCTTCAGAGACGCGTGGTACTGGCTGACATTTAAGGCGTTGTCGCGGTGATCAGTCTCGTGCCTTTATTGGGGCTTCAGGTCTTTAATGATCTAGTGCTACCCACGTTTTCCGGAAGCGGTTTCCGGAAAGACGGGAAGGTTTCGACAGTTACGTATCAGCAGAATTTCCAAGTCAGTCAATTAACTTTGGTATGGACCCATAAATTAAGATCCCACCTCCGCTTCCGTGATTTCCATAGCAATTATGCGCTCTGCGTGCCACAGTAGCCAGCCAGCCGCACAGTAGATCGCACGAGCGTGCGCCCGGCTCGGCTCTGTCGTGCGGTGAAGTACCTCCCCAGAGGTGCAGTGTGTTATTTCCTTGACCGGGATGCCTGTACGTACCGCGCGAGTCAAGAGTCGAACCCGGATGGCGAGTACGTGCTGGCCTGCAAGCGACGCGTCATCCGGTTCCTGCACCAGTGGGCCAGCACCATACGCGAGCCGGTGCTGGAAGACTTGAGCAGTGCTAACTCCAGCTTTCTCGAGGTGAGACACGCGCTCCCAACACCCAGGCCCAGGGGTGGTTTAAGTGTACTTTTTTTGTCACGGGCCAAATTTCTGGAAGAACAATTGTCACCAGTAGCGCAATGCGATATCATAAGGCAAAAATACAAAGTACATATCCAATGGCGCCATGAAGGATCTACCTATCAATGAAAGTCTCTTTCATCACTGCAACTTGCAATATCGTGCACACAATCGAAGCGCTCTATCAAACACTGTTCTTCAACAAATGGAATAAGTGCTGCTGCTAGGAAAGCAGGCACACCTGCCCTGGAATCATGAGGTAGCCCAATCACAAGAGGAGTTCAATCACAAGATATGAGAAAGAAGCTGACTATAGCAAAAACCATCTTTTCTGGGCTTTGTTTATTGCCTATGATTCATTGGTTTCTACCTACCCCTAGTCATGCATAAAAATTGACACTCCTGCCATTATGCCACCACCATACAAACTATATTGATTTCTGCTATCAATGTGGGCCGCAGATAGAGTACGCTGTCGGCCTTCACAACCTGTAGTTAATGTGTACAGTTATTATGCTGACGGCTCCATTCGAACAGTTTTTTTAAATTCCATGTTAGCAAAAACAGTACTGAAACATACGATATTTGCATGCATGCAATGCCATGCTCAAAAGTGCAAAGAAAATATGCACATTTATGAGCCATGCAGAGTAAATGACTTTCAGAGCTTTCCTGTTACAGTAGGGCTGCTATCTTCAGGAAATAACCAACACCGTCCCCAGAGACAACCAAATGCCAACCTTTTACTGGCCTCGTAGGATGGTTGGACCACAATGCCATAAAACCCCCTGCTATTTGAATTTCAACTTTCGGTAAAGAGGGAGATGACAATGAAATCTATACCCCCTCTTCAATGACATTTGCTACACCATCCTACCCCTCACTTTCATTGCCTTTCCACAGCCTACGTCATTGGATATCATATAAATTTTCGGCAACCAAGATTGGTGTTAGCGAAAGGTTGAACTATGAATAATTGCTTAAAGCTATAAAAACAATTGATGACATAATAGTATTTCCAGCATGGACATAGCTTTTGACGATGGGCATGGGAGCACTAAAACATTATGCAATATACTCTCCAAATATGGATGTCTCCTAGATAAGCACACTTTTTCACAAACACCAGGGGGAGGGCTGGAACCCTGAACTGAATCAAAAAGTAGGAGCACCCCTGATTTGGAAGTCTATGTGACTGCTAACCATTCTCAATCAGGACAAGAGCAAAAATGCCATAAATTGGCATCTCGGAAACATTCTAACCTCCTGTTATGCCCCTTCATGAAAAGTGCCATCAGGCTTTAACATCGAACCCACGGTTCTTTTTAAAGGGAAGATAGATGGTTGCTTGTGATTGTTTCAGTGAGCTAACAGCCTTTTCAGTGTCTTGAATAGGCGGCTTGGATAATCACAGGTCAATTTCTACCTTGATCGGGTCATCCCGCCGACTTACCCTGAACTGTCAATGCCTCTCGTCGCTGAGGATGGGATGCTGAATTGCGGCACCGCCAACGAAGTAAGCAATGCGAAAAACTAAACCCTAGGTAGGTATTCATAACACTGCAATGCGGATGCCACTTGCAAAATTGCAGCGCATTGAAAGTCACCGCCGACCTCCTATCTGTCCATTGCAACGAATGAAGCATGCCATTGCGCCCAGATCAATCCCCATATTTAGATTTTTTCAGTACTTGATGCTGTCTAGTCTGGGACACTGAGGGTCGGCTGTCAAAACAGCGAATAGGCCGACCGACCGGGTCACAGGAAATATTCGGATTTGTCGCCGACCTGTCACCGAGTCGGACGACCAACTAAAAATCACAGCAAATTTTTGCTGCCGGGTTGGAGGGAAACCTGGAAAAGATACCAGGGTACCATAGAGTACGGGAAAGTGTCTTTACGGAAAGGTTTGTTTGTGTTGTGTGGCGAAATGCATTACCGTGGAGGCATAACATCTATGTATAAAGACACCGTGTTAAGTTTTGTATAGTGTACTGTAACATCTTGTCTTGGCCGTTACACAAATTTGCTGTCCAAAAGCATTTTTGGCACAAAGCTTCACGTGATTATATACGTTTTTGTCGCTGATCCTATCCAACAAGTCGACAGGTTTTACCACCCCTGCCCAGGCCGGTCCCATTGTCAGCTTCAGTACTCCGTGCTTCACGGAGTTCACCGCTTTCCATCACTGGAATAAACAGGAGCTAGGATAGTGACTAGGCATTTGGGGAGGGAGGGGGGGGGGGCGGGTCGTCCGGGGCCATGTCCTGTAAAACCCGGTGTGGGCCCACCAAAATCATACTGCGGACGAGTTAATGTCACACACACTCATACACATCAAAGACATGCGCGCTCAGGGCAATCCTCGCCCTACGAACGATGGGGCAGGACACCCCCTCCCTCCCACCTGACCCCCCCCCCCTCCTCCTTTTTAAGAGCTATTCATCGTCATCTTCCGCATTATAGTATGCTCAGTTCTTGAATTAGCAAGGAAGTCCAACAACTGTGAATTTGACCTCTTTGACGTGTTTCGTGCATCAAAATCACATTCACAATTCCTCAGCATCAGGTATCTGATTTAGTTAGACAAGAGCCTTGGAATGCTGTTTTCCTCATGCCACTAGCTTGATTGATTTTCGAGTTTCAGGGCACTATAAGATTAGTTTTTATATCCGATGACCCTAGAGCTCATAGGGCCGTCAGAGGCCCTCTGAAGGGACGGCCCCTGAGGCCTTCTCCTCGTGGGGTGAAGGTGAAACAAACATCTACAGGGTGTACACTAAGTGTAGCACATCTAGGCCAATTTCAATTTTTTACTGTGCAAGTAACATTGAGACGACGGTCTAAACTAAACTGTCCACATGACTTTTTAAACTTTTTAAAGTGCATCGCAACTGGGGCAGAAAATCGAGGGGCGGCAGTAGATTCCGTTTGGATCTATGATTGGCTTATGAGTATTATTACCTGCCACTCGCAGGCAAATTCCTATGTGCGATTTCAAGCATGCGTAATCACGAAATGTCATTTGCTTGTTGGGATCTTAAGTATTTTATGTGAATTTTGTTTTGTAGACAGCGTTCCTAGATTTTCTCCTTGAGATTATTTCTTGGAAACGGAAAACAATGGATTTCTGGAAACACTTTCTTTACCAGCCACTCTGATAAGCCTCTTTTCAACGTCTGATAAGGGGACGGGGTCGATATGCGGCCCCCCCCCCCCCCCCCCCACCTGTGCTGTTTCCAAACTCAGCAAGATAGAGCCTCGCGAAAAACGTATTGTGGATTGGTGTCAACTATTTCTCGCGATTGGCAATACGCTTTATGTTGCTAGGTCAACAAGTTGCCCCTTGCGCCTGGTCGAAAGTAAGGTTTTCCTGAAAATTGCACCATTTCTGCTTCGCATGCTCATATTTTCGGCACTTAACATGACGAAACTCACAATGACGTTTTTGTATAAAAGTCTAAGCACACTGACGGTCCAGTTATATGTGCTTTGAGCATATATTTATCGCACAGGCCCCTCTTGATGTCAAAGTTTTGCCCTCACGCGCGCGATCGGCGGCTTTGTCGGCTGCCTCTGTCCCTCCCCGCGCCTGCCGTGGACTGCTGTACAGTGTCCCAAAAGGACCGGTGCTTCTTCGAAACCAGAAGTACTAGGCATACGCTTTCAGTGACAACACGCGTAATCGTTTCCCCTCCAGGCTACCATTCTGGCGAGATATCACGACATGCCGATGGGATATTCTCTGGGAATCTTAGGGGAGCCGCACCCCCTCTCCTGTTTCTATTGTTGTGAGGGTTAGGCCTGACTTGAGCTTCCGTATAGCTCGGGAGCGTCGATTTTGCCTCTCATTTCTAATAGAAAATGATAACGAAAGGAGTTGAGCTCAGACGCCTATTACGTCACAACGGGTATTTGTCTGCCCCTCCCTCGCTCAAACAGACTTGGTCACGACGAACACCCAACGTTCGAAACTCCTGACACACGAAGCGTTTGGTACTCTGTTCTTTCGTTTAAAAGCCTTGAGCGCTTGCGCCTTCTGGGCGAAAAAGTCGGGCTGGCCGGTCCGTCCGATGCGTCAGCTTCTTCCCGTCAAGAACGCAGGGGATGAGCGCCGTGCTTTCCCCACCGCTACCACGGTCACTGGCGTCGCCATCACCAAAGTTTGTCTAGTGTGTTAACTTTGTCTGTGTAACGGCAGGCCCCGAGAGCAAACAGTGTACCGTAGTTGTTAAAGGGACGGACAGAATGTTTGCATTTCAGCTTGGTCGTGCCAGATCGTCGTTGAGGTCAAGTCAGCAGCCGCGCCCGCTGCGGCCAGCCGCCTTACGCCTATTGCCTTCACCGCACATTCGAATGCTCCTCAAAGTCGAGCGATAAAATCCAACATTCAGGGCTGTTGCCTGAGTGCTGGCGTTTTAGCACACTTCGACTTGCGAGTTCGTGCAGCGCATGTGCGCCTGAGCCGTTACAGGGAGCACACTCTGCCGTGTGTCTCGGCAGCAGGTGACGGGGACGCTCCGGATTCATTCCTGGGGTCACTAGGGCTGAAAAGACAGGTCAGGGCTCCGAGAGCCCGCACATGATGCTATCGGTGCCCACAGCAGAAGGTGGGCTCCCTCCTGGAGTTGTGGAGGCTGCACTGCCCCTCAAAGTACACCCCGTGCTTGTTCACGCCATTTAGACGGCGGGGTTGGACGCTGGCTGGGCACGATGCTGGAGCGAGATCACCAGTTGGGCGCGCTGCTTGGGCGAGATAACTAGTCACGCGCGCTTTTGGAGCGAGATCACCAGTCGCGCGCGCCGCTGGAGCGAGATTACCAGCCGCGTGCGCTGCTAGAGCGAGATCACCGGTCGCGCGCTGCACTGGGGCGGGATCACCAGTCGTGCACCCCGTCGGAGCGAGATTCAAAGCCCGGTCTATAGCGGATGTGTGTCTGTAAAACCGACGCTTGTTGTTCGTGAAATCAGCGACGCGCGCCCGCATGTGTATGCTTTTGACGCCCTGTTGGGTTTGTTGTTTACACACTCATGCTTAAAGGGGGTGTTTCACATTTGAAGTTACTTAAGCAGGCATCATCTATAATGAAATAAACTCACCTTTGACTATTGGTATACTTTAAGTGGAAGAGGCTGTTCTAAACAGCACAATTTCTCCGTTTTGGTAAATATGCTGTTCAAAAGATCATCGTTTGACTACGACATCGTACCTTGCACAACACTGAATGTGAGCCAATTGGTAGGAGTGATATCTGAAAATCGTGCTCACAAACGCCAGATATGAGTGACTCCACAGTTGATTTTTTATCTTGATTACCGCATGGCCAACGGCAAGTCAGGATTTGAATGGCGTTGTTATGGCGTGATGGATGCTTCGGTGGCCTTTAAATAGCCTTCCCGAAATAGTCTACACGTCTTCGTGGGCGTGCAGCTAAGAAACTAAAAAGGGGTTAGGTGTTAAGAAGAGCAGGGCTATCAACTGCACTGAATTATCTTCAAGATGCCTTTTTCAGTTCGAACCCCAAACAACTGTGGAACATTTCATCCCTTTCCCTGGTGGGGGGGGGGGGAGGGGGGAGCGGAAGTAGTCTATGCTACCCCTCATGAGTTTTTTGATCTGCGTTAGCTTTTAGGAACACTGCACTATGATCCACGGCCGGTGTGGGTGACGGGCGGCAACCGACGATGCTGTAGTACGCGCGTGGCGGGCCGACATTGCTACATTGACGTGCCACGCATCATAACCGTATGGTTAAAATACATAGGACTGTACACCAATGTACTCGACATAAAAAGGAACACGCCTGATTAAGTTTTGTGTCGCCATATAAGTGGGCTCAGATGTACGATATTTGGAAGCTAAAAAATACGATTTTCTGGAAAATGTGACGCTTGACCTGGTATAATGGGGTTTATTAGTGACCTACCAACAGAAAAACTAGTTACAATTGCGAGATCTTGTGAATACCATTTCACCGGTGTTAACTGATAAGCTCTAATTTTGTTTTGTTGGAGCGCCAGGGGCTGCATCGAGCCCCCTTCCTATTTGTCCGCGTAATACAAAGTGGTGAATCAGGGCGCGGGTTAAGCGGCTTCTGTACTCAAAACTGCGAACCACACGTGAGACATCCTCTGAAATAGCAGAGCCAATGTTATCTTTCCTTGAAGATCATATTTCAACTTTGCAATTTCATGAGGGTCAGTCTGACTAGCATCCTTATGTCTCCAAAACTGTTCCGCATGTTGTACCCAATGCCCGGCTGTTCCCGTGAATAGTGTTCATGGTAGTTTGACCCTTTCTTTGCCCTAGACCCTATGCCTTGTGTTACTTCTCCTGACCGAGCTTTGTATCTCAGGACCTGTACCATCTGGTGGAGGCGGACGCCACCACCTACGGCCAGCTGTTCCGCGAGGAGACCCACCTAATGATGGACCTGATGGAAATGAGGGAGAAAGCACGCCAGGAGCGGCACTCGTACGGCGTGCGCAAGTGGAAGATGCCGTCCGAGGGCCACCGCGTCCTCCTGTTCAGCGGCAGCTCAGTGGACGAGGAGGCAGCCGACCGGGCGCGCCCCATGCAGCACCATGACGAGAGTGAGTGGCGTCACCTCCGCCCATAGCTAGAGTGAGTGACGTCAACCCTCCCTTGACGATAGTGAGCGCCGTCTCGCCGTCCCATGACGAGAATGAGTGACATCACCCCTGCCACGACGAGAGTGACCGACACCACACCCTCCCGTGGCGAGAGTATGGAGGCAAGTGGTGATACAGCAGACATATCGAAAGTTTCCATGACTGACGCTTGCAGTTCCTGCCTTGTCCAGTGGCAGGTGAGCTTTGGCGTCAGTGATGTTTCTCTGGGGATGCGCCGTGTCGCTTCCACGGTGAGTGTAGGCAATTCCATTACCGATTTGTATGGCGAACGTAGTCCTGCTTAGGCCTACCGCATGGCGCACCATGATCAACACGGTCGTCCTGCCAGGTGAGGACTGTAGTTGATCGCACAAACTTGTGGCAAAAGTAGAACCAGCAGGGAGTGGACTTAACAAACGGGAGAAAACAGACCCGGCTTGCATGTCATCCGCATCCCTGAGGCGTCTGGTTCCAAAAGTATCCTCCCTCGAGGCGGGATAGTAGACAAAAGCTTCTGCTGCGCCCGGCAGATCAAAGCCTCGCTCTTCTGTTAACGTTGGGTGTGTCGCAGTCGGCCAGGGCGTTGCCCAGGCCGCAGCATGTTGTATTCAAAGGATATCCAGACCCGGAACCGAGAGCCTAATTCAGTGCTAGTGGCAGCTGGTTCCCATTTCAGCCATTGTTATTCACTGGTTTATATTTTTTAGGCAAATCCGGGCAAAAATATGAAACTTCTATTCCGTCTTGGGCAGCGGAATGATAACCGCGAGCTTTTTTCTTATACATATAGCGCACGCTTTTCATCCAGTTTCTGACGAGTGCTCCTCAGCTCCCCACCTTTATGCATAAACGAGCAGTTTTAAGCGTCAGGGCTGGTGTGGTGGCACAATCGCCGGACCATCTTCCACGCCAGGGCTGGTGTGGCGGCACAATCGCCGAACCATCTTCCACGTCAGGGCTGGTGTGGTGGCACAATCGCCGGACCATCTTCCACGTCAGGGCTGGTGTGGCGGCACAATCGCCGGACCATCTTCCACGTCTGGGATGAAAGCCTGAACACAATGCTTCGTCTGGTTCAGTATGTGGCCGTCGTCAGGTGCTCTGAAGTCCTGAGAAGGAATGGAGAAGGCACGGCTTCCGACCCTATACGCGTCACAAGCCGGGTGGTCTGCGTAGGACTCTAACCGGGGTCTTTGCCATTAAGCTGACAAGAAAATCGTTCTTGGTTAGATGTCCGTCGGTTTTCACTTCGAAGAGACCTTACCTGTGTGAACACCCTACTGGGTTGAAATATTCGGCCTTACGTGCGTATAACTGGGAGCATGGCTGGTCAACATAGATATTGTATGTTCCACAGTACACACACACACAAACACACACACACATACACACACACACAACACACACACACACACACACACACACACACACACACACACACACACACACACACACACACACACACACACACACACACACACACACACACACACACACACACACACACACACACACACACACACACACACACACACACACCACACACACACACACACACACACACCACACACACACACACACACACACACACACAAATATATATATATATATATATGCATATATATATATATATATATATATACATATATATATATATATATATATATATATATATATATATATATATATATATGTATATGTGTATAAAGTAATCTATTCAGAAACGTAGCACCAACGTGTCATACTTGATTACATTTATTCCCTCATTTTCACCTTGTCAGACTGACAGAAGATGGTGACCTGGGTCGGATCGCGCAACGTAGAACAAGGTCAAATATGTCAAACAGATAGGCGCATCTTATTCCTCTTTCCAGCGTTCACACGTATGTAGTGGATAAAATATTGTGTCCATTTTCACGTTTTGCAGCTGGCCTGACCTGACAACAGTGACCCCAGGCCAATCAGATAGTAGGCTTGCATACAAATGTTTTGCTTCATGAGGTACATGCGTGCAACATGAGCCAAAAGACGTCGAAATGCATACGATATCAGGCCGACAGCTGCCCATGACATCAAACCAAATAGCAGAACAAATATCGTTTTGCCTGGGGACGTCTTAGTTTTTTTCTAAAGTCTCAACTGTTCCCCATCCTGGTGATATGTGGCCTGTCAGCCGCGGAAGTCAAGTTGACATGACAGTATCGTTATATTCAAAGGGCTAGGTGACTGTAAAGAATGCACTTAAAACAGCACATCTCCGACTCAATTCGCAGCCGCGTTATATTTGTATGTGAGCTCGCGTGGGGATCAGGCAACTGTTTTCAGACTGATTCATGAACGATGCGATCGGGTTGCCCTGCCAAAATTTGGTTCGCTGTAGACAATAGAATAGATGATGTGTTGGTATTAAACATCAATTTTAGCTCGCGAGGTCGCTGATCTATAGAAAGTCAAAGCCAGGTCCCGCCTGTCAGGGAGGGCATTTCCTAGGCAGATCGTTAGACGAAGCTTTACAACTTTGGAATGGTTACTTAGACGACTGAAATGAGGATTACGACTAATTCCATTCACCTTGGTTCAGCTGCGATTGTCAGAGCAAAGTTAAAACCACACTGCATATTCTCAGAAATCTTGCTTAACGAGGTACTTTCCACGTTCATTCCAAGTTCATGGACCACAAGCACGTCAAAATGTGTTTTTATTCTGACTTTACGAAGGTCAGGGGAGGTCACTGACCCAAAATGGCACCGGTCAACTTTGTTTTGAGGAACATGTCGGGTAGAGTAATACTTTGCGATCATTATCATAATTAAATGTAATGATTACAATTAAACCATAATTAATGTAATAAACCATAATTAAATGTAATGACCACCTCGAAGTTTTTGGTCAATTTTTACCTTCTTAAGGTCACATAAGGTCACTGATATGTCATGAGCACCAGTTACATAATATCCGGATGATAAATTGAGCTAGAACTGGTTACGTGTGGTCGTAGGACACTCCTGGCCCCTATCTGAAGTTTTACCTTGTTTGACCCGTTTTGATCCGAAGATCACAGCCTAGGGACCTTACACTTTAACGCAAACTAGTTCGTATGAAGTCGTACCTCCGTTGCGAATTTAGTATCTTAAGCTCTCCTAGTTACTGAGATCCCGCGGGATCAACTTGACCCCACCCCCACCCTTCCCCGAGCGCGCTACGTTCAACCGGCCGCTTGCCGCATGTTCAATCCTTGGCCGGATGCTCTCAAAAGTCTGATAGGTTGTTGGCCTCTTTATCACACATCTGAAGAATACCATTCCAGTGCGCAGCCGGGAGCTCAACTCATCCCCACTGAAGTGTTTTGAAGGCGTGTTTTCCCAGACATCGACAGCGTATCGCCGTCGTGTGTGGGAAGCAGTTAGCCGTGAGGGAATGAGCTTTGAGCTTTGTAGGGCGCGAAGCTCACGGCTTTTCTGTTCGCGTGTGATTAGCCCCCGTCTCAATGTACCACCGTCTTTTCCATTGTTGTCTTACACCCCACGCACAAAGATCTGCCACGTACGAAGTGTGCTTTGCGCCTGGGACACTATCTGCGCATTACTGCCACCAATGTCGCCCCGCTCACAGTGGTAATCCGGACGGCACCGAGACCCCCGTCCCTCCCTCCTGATCCCGCTTCCGCCCGGCCAGACCGGCCGTTGTCTGTCCAGAGAGATTGACGCGGTGTGCTGCCGGCCGTTTAGGAAACAGCCACCGGCCAATTTCATTTGGGGGCCGCCGTCGGCAATGTATGCAGCCCTGGGCGTGGCCGAGCGGGCGAGGCTCGGTGGCGGAGCAGCCGCGGCTCGGTGGCGGAGCGGCCGCGCCCGCCGCCAGCGACGCCCCCCTCAGTCTGTCAATGGGTCGTCACCAAGGCCCGGGTCGGCCGGCGCCGGATTGACACTGGAGCTGTTGATTTTTGCTGTTGGCAAAGCAGAAGTTAAATGAGATTTGAGGGATGGGTGGGACAGATTGTTGGCAGTGTTTCACCATGAATGGGACGAAGCGACTGTGCTCTGCTGCCATGAATCATGCGGAACGACTGTAGTCTGTTACCTTGGGCAAAGACAGGCAGCACCAAGCGTGGAAAAAACATCGGCTTCCTTAGAGTATGAATCAGGGAAACCAGTCCCAGTTCGGCAACCCGAGTTGGACAGAAGCGGACAGTCTACTTCGTACGCTGTGGCAGAGAAACCGGCATACAGAGATATGGATGGACACGAAGAAATGCCGTACTGCCAACCGTTACGTTTCTGAAGTGGACTGCACGGAAAAACACTAAACGGAAGTTGTTCCATAAGGCAGACTATTTGCTGTAGGCGAGCACGCACAGTGATTTCTGGCTGTGCCAGGCGCTTTCTTTAGTGGTTCCTTGCTCGACTGATTTCTAAATCGTATTCAATGCGGGACATGTTTTCTACCTGCGAGCCATGAATGGGTGAGGGGCATAAGTGTCGGCCTCCTTCACAGTGGCAAGCGCTTGCATTTTACTCGGTGTGTTGATTCCTGAGAACAGAACACATTACGGTGATGATAGAACATAACAGATGACGGAATACTTCGCACCACTCTGTGCTACGATATGGGAAGCCAAGACAAAAGATGATGAATGCGAGTCAGGATAGCGTCAGGGGTGGAACAATGCAGCGGGAACCATGCAGGCTATGAGTGATGGAGAAGTCATAATGAAATGTGTTGATTGTGTGTATCATAATGAAATGTGTTGATTGTGTGATTGTGTGTGTTGATTCCTGAGAACAGAACACATTACGGTGATGATAGAACATAATATATGACGGAATACTTCGCACCACTCTGTGCTACGATATGGGAAGCCAAGACAAAAGATGATGAATGCGATTCAGGATAGCGTCAGGGGTGGAACAATGCAGCGGGAACCATGCAGGCTATGAGTGATGGAGAAGTCATAATGAAATAGATGTGTCCGTAGGATATTGTGCAGTTGTACGTTGTGCAGGCCAAATTCGGCTCGATGTCGGTCCGTTGGCACTAGCCAAGAAGCTTTCGTAGCTGGTTGATTGATAAGCTCCTTCAGAAAACAAAACTATCGTTAAGTCGATCATGTTGTAAGATTGCGGAAGCACCGTGTGTGCAATAATACCACTATTTCTGCATGCTTCGTGGATGCCAAAACTGTTCTGCTTTCCCGAGCATGCCCAGTTTTAAGCGTTTTTGTTCTGTTCGTGTTATTCCTGCTACCCAGGCGTGGCGGGTCCTGTTTGCTTTCACCGTTCTCAGCCGACTCATATGTACTCAACGGAACGCTGAGTGTGTTTATTGCCGCGCTCCGCGGGCAATAACAGCGTTATGTGCTCGTTGTTACCCGGCCCAGCCGCCGCTGATGCTCGAGGTCTGGTTCCAGTGATATTCCGGGTGTACTGCGCCGACCACACGTTCTGCACGCTCAAGTTCCCGCTGTCAGCCACGGTGGCAGCCATCAGGCGCAGCGCCGCCGATAAGCTAGGACTGAACAACGACGATCTGCTGCTGGTGCAACTTAAGTCTTCCGGTGAGCTTAACTCCCTGGCGTTGGCTCTCTCTCTCTCTCTCTCTCTCTCTCTCTCTCTCTCTCTCTCTCTCTCTCTCTCTCTCTCTCTCTCTCTCTCTCTCTCTCTCTCTCTCTCTCTCTCTCTCTCTCTCTCTCTCTCTCTCTCTCTGTCTGTCTCTGTCTCTGTCTCTGTCTCTGTCTCTGTCTCTGTCTCTGTCTCTGTCTCTGTCTCTGTCTCTGTCTCTGTCTCTGTCTCTGTCTATGTCTCTGTCTCTGTCTCTGTCTCTGTCTCTGTCTCTGTCTCTGTCTCTGTCTCTCTCGTCTCTGTCTCTGTCTCTGTCTCTGTCTCTGTCTCTGTCTCTGTCTCTGTATGTCTCTGTCTCTGTCTCTGTCTGTCTCTGTTCTGTCTCTGTCTCTGTCTCTGTCTCTGTCTCTGTCTCTGTCTCTGTCTCTGTCTCTGTCTCTGTCTATGTCTGTCTCTGTCTCTGTCTGTGTCTATGTCTGTCTCTGTCTGTCTCTGTCTGTCTCTGTCTCTGTCTCTGTTCTCTGTATCTGTCTCGTATATGTATGTCTCTGTCTCTGTCTCTGTATCTGTCTCTGTCTCTGTCTCTGTCTCTGTCTGTCTCTGTATCTGTTTCTCTCTCTCTTTCTCTGTCTCGTCTGTGTCTCTGTCTCTGTATCTGTCTCTGTCTCTGTCTTTGTCTCTGTCTCTGTCTCTGTCTCTGTCTCTGTCTCTGTCTCTGTCTCTGTCTCTGTCTCTGTCTCTGTCTCTGTCTCTCTATCTCTGTCTCGTCTAGTCTCTGTATCGTCTCTGTCTCTGTCTAGGTCTCTGTCTCTGTCTCTGTCTCTGTCTCTGGTCTGTCTCTCTCTCTCTCCTCTCTCTCTCTCTCTCTCTCTCTCTCTCTCTGTCTCTGTTCTCTGTCTCTCTGTCTCTGTCTTCTGTCTCTCTCTCTCTCTCTCTCTCTCTCTCTCTCTCTCTCTCTCTCTCTCTCTCTCTCTCTCTCTCTCTCTCTCTCTCTCTCTCTCTCTCTCTCTCATCTCTCTCTCCTCTCTCTCTCTCTCCATTTCTCGTTCTCCCTTCCACAATTGCCTTCGGTACTTGCTGTTGCTTATTGTCAGGGACTGTGGCGGTGACCTCGCCGGAGCTTCTGCCGCATCACCGGCTGTCGTGTCCGGCAGGCGAGCGGACGGTCCTGAGGGACGCTGCCAACAGTGTCACCACCGGGCTCAGCCTCAACGGCCGGCTCTTCGTCTCGCCCAAGGACCATCTCGACGCCCTGGTACGCCCCCCCCCCTCCCCCCTCCCCCTACACAGGGCGTTGACGTCATCGCAGGCTGTTGCCGCGTGCCGCTTCTGCTATTAAGACGAGCGCACATCTCGCAGACGTGCTCGGTGAAGCTATTGGAGACATGCAGCGTGGGAAGCCAAAGCTAATAACGGTGCGAGCCGGCCAGGTGCTTCCGCCCGTGTGCGTGCATCAGTGGCGAGATGTCACGGCGAGTGACGGCACCACGCGGGTCGGATTGCGCTCAGTGCCAATTTCTGTATGTTCATTAGCCTCGTGGCCACGCTACGCCACTACATTACGTGCAAGGCAGCGGCCGGTTTTAGCGGTACAGGTCAGCGCTAAACACAGGAGCCACTCTTACTGCGAATGGCTGCGCTGAATGCCTCACGGACAGCACGCGAGTGCCTGTCAAACACCGTTTGCGTCACGAAATACGTTCATGGCTCCACATCAGCCCTTTAAAGCCCCGTTCACGGGCGGCTTGCGCGCTGTCAGGCGCATGACAGACACTTCTTGTGATGTCATCGGGAGCAGTGTAGCCCGACAGCTCGCTGACAGTTTCCCGGCTTCCGTGGTCGGAACTACCAACTAATAGTCGTGACACAACGCTCAGGCTGCCTTTCACGTACTACACATCGCCACGTACACCGCAGTTCGCAGAAACCTGTTAGTGCTACAAGCAAGCAGCCTCTGCCATGCCCCTGGTTTATTCATGTACGCTGACGTCTCCCGACCGAGTTGCACGGTATTTCGGAGCCGTTGCAGGGTGCAGTTGAGTCTCTGTCGCGGAAGTCCTCGGGGACGCAGGCCCTGCGAAGTTACCTCTGACCTTTGACCTATTTGCAGACGCCACTGCCGGAACAGGAGGGCCCGACTGAAAGCAGCTGCTTCGATATCGAGGCATACAACACGCGAGACATGGCAGTGGCCATGGCCCAGCTTGACTGGGAGGCTTTCAACAAGATACACGAGGTACCCATACACGCCGGGCCATCAGGTCACGACTGCAGAACGAGCTGGGCCCTGGCAATATGAATTATTTCGCGCCCACTAAACCTGCCGCTGTGTGGAAAGTGTATAACTTGTTTGGCTGGACTTGCACTGCGGAGCGTCGCTGCAGCTGGATTATCCTGACCCGTCTTCCAATGTCCACCGTAGCGGAGACTGGCCCGGGCGGCATTCCTAGGTTAGACCGGGACAGTCCCAGGTCAGACGGGGACCGGTCCGGACGGCGGTCCCAGGTCAGAAGGGGACCGGTTCGGGCGACAGTCCCAGGTCAGAAGGGGACCGGTCCGGGCGACAATCCCAGATCAGACGGGGACCGGTCCGGGCGACAGTCCCAGGTCAAACAGGGACCAGTCCGGGCGACAATCCCAGGTCAGACAAGGACCAGTCTGGGCGACAGCCCCAGGTCAGACGGGGACCAGTCCGGGCGGCAGTCCCAGGTCAGAAGGGGACCGGTCCCGGCGACAGTCCCAGGTCAGACGGGGACCGGTCCGGGCGACAGTCCCAGGTCATGCGGGGACCAGTAAGGGCGACATTTTGTGGTCGGACGCTATAAGGCTCACAATACGAATTATTTGGGAAGCGATGCTGCTCCACCAGGAATGGGAAGTGTGATCTCGATTTTGTATTACGGGAGGCCCGGGAAAGCCATCTCTCGTCATGCTGCAGCGACGCAGTAGCCACGTCACTGCAGCATGGCGGGGATCGCTTCTTGTAGTTGGATCCTCGTGGACCGACATTACGACATTACGACACGTGACGGGTCCCTCAACTTCTGGCATCCCAGTATGCGGTAGCACGTGACGGGCGTGACCCGTGTGTGTTGTGCTGTGTACAGTACGAGATTCTGTACCACGTGAGCGGCCGGGAGCAGCCGGGACGGACGACAGCCAACCTGGACGTGTTTCTGTGCCGCTTCACCGAGTACCAGCACTGGGTGATCACGGAGACGTGCCTGTGCGCCAATCTCAATCGACGCGTCGGCCTGCTCAAGAAGTTCATCAAGCTGGCCACCGCGTGAGTCTCGCGTTTGTTTTGTGCTTATAACCGGCTGAAGCGCCAACAAAGCGATGAGACGTTGTTGAACCACGCGGAATGTGTTTCCTTGGTTCACGGTGTTGGAGTGGCGCTGGAGCGCATGCTTCTCAGTGCGACATACTTTGCGACAAAAGCGCCGCTCTGGTCGCCTTCGAGCATAGCTTATATCTGTCCAACGTGATAATGGTGTATATATATATATATATATATATATATATATATATATATATATATGGAACAATGTTATATTTTGGTCACCAGCGCTTTAGCATATCTCACTTTGGGATGGATTATCTCAGTTGATTGGGCGCCTACCCACAGTGCTCGGCTGAGGCCATGGTGCTCGGCTAAGGCCTTGATCTCGTTCGTCCCTACGGGCCTAGACTTTGTATTTCCCAACGAAAGACGGTTTGAAGGATTGCGATGCTTAATGGTAGTTATGGTCGCTGAGCCGCTACGCCTCCTCCCTCTCCCACAGCTATCCCCAACAATGGTGGTTCAGGTTGGAAGGTTACTGCAGCAGTTGCATCTCGAAAAGAAATCTCGTCCATTATTTTTCGAGACATGTAACCAGAGACGTGAATTGTGTGACGTCGTGGCTGGAATGTTTCCTTGTCCGGTTTGTCGTTCGTCCAGTGGGCTGCTGCCCAGATAGTCGTCCTGTTGCCACTTATTCTGTCGCCTGTTGGCTCGGTTGTCTTCCCCACTCCGCCGCGCTCCTGTGTTGAGACGGGCACCGCGCCAGCCGTCGCAGCCATGGCGTCTGTGGACCATGGCAGGCTCTTGACCTTAGCCTGCCTCTGGCGGCAGGTGCCGCGAGTTGAAGAACCTCAACGCCTTCTTCGCCATCGTCATGGGCCTGAGCAATACGGCCGTGTCGCGACTGACGCAGACGTGGGAGAAGCTGCCGTCCAAATTCCGCAAGATGTACGCCGCCTTCGAGGTGCTCATCGACCCGACGCGCAACCACCGCGCCTACCGCGTCTACATGGCCGACCTGCTGCCGCCCATCATCCCGTTTATGCCGCTGCTTATCAAAGGTGCGAGCCACGTGTCCGTGTTGGGCTGGCCGGGTCGCCCGTGTCGCCGCCTGTCCCAAAGGTGCGAGCCGCGTGTCCGTGTTGGTCTGGCCGGGTCGCCCGTGTCGCCGCCTGTCCCAAAGGTGCGAGCCGCGTGTCCGTGTTGGGCTGGCCGGGTCGCCCGTATCGCCGCCTGTCCCAAAGGTGCGAGCCGCGTGTCCGTGTTGGTCTGGCCGGGTCGCCCGTGTCGCCGCCTGTCCCAAAGGTGCGAGCCGCGTGTCCGTGTTGGTCTGGCCGGGTCGCCCGTGTCGCCGCCTGTCCCAAAGGTGCGAGCCGCGCGTCCGTCTTGGGCTGGCCGGGTCGCCCGCATCGCCGCCTGTCCCCAAGTCAAGCGCTCTGTTGCATACCATGTCCATCATGGCGAATGCCGCCAGTCCAGAAGCTCATGGTTCAGCATCTCTTTCTTTTTTAAGTTATCTCTTATTTTCTTGTTATAAGCTGATTGCCCCAAATATGCCTGCACGTTAGCGGGTCAGTTTTGTCATATAGGCCATATCATATATTCTATCTACCACCTATCACCAGCAACAAACCATCGTTTGAAACAAAAACATCAGGCGAACACCCTTTAGAGCGGCCCGTAGACTGCTTTGGCACCGGTGGTGTTAGTGTTACTGATTTGCCAGAGAGCGTATGGTGCGATCTCGTGTTTTCTAGAACCCTTGGGCATGTCACGACAGCTCTCACGTGTGGGCAATGCACTGTTGTATAACCTGTGCGTCGCCACCGTTATTTTCCACGGCTCCTTCTCAATGCTTGGTGCGTGGTCTCCTATTAGCGCGAAGCGAGCATTGTCGCACCAGACGGCGCTGCAAGGAATCTCGACGATCAAAGGCCCCCAAGCAAAGCCTGAGGGCCTTTCACATGCGCGATGCGTGGGCTGAATGGTACTTGTGTAACCTACCGAGCTGTGTTTGATGCGGTCATGACCCCGTCTTCAGACATGACCTTCACCCACGAAGGCAACCGCACGCACATCAACGGTTTGGTGAACTTTGAGAAGATGCACATGTTGGCGCAGACCATGCGAACGCTTCGCTACTGTCGCAGTCGGCCACTAGGTAGGTGGAAGGCCCGCAGATTGCTTTGGACGTGTCAATGACTGCAGAATGGGCAGCTTTGGCCAAAAAAGAACTTGGTGAATGCCATGCATTCGAAGAAATATTTATTATATAGCATGTCCATGTCCTTATATAGCATATCCCGAAAACATTATGAGGTTAGGGAATAATTTTACTTTAGGGCTGCTCGTGCCAGCAAGTACTCTGCGTTTTCTGATGAAATAGATAGAATGCGTAACAATTACAACACTGCCCTGCTGCATATGTTGGCAGAGGATGCAGCGAACCAGGCTCTGTTCGCAGAAATGTGCCATATCTAAGGATCTGGTGGCGGGTTCCTTTGATTCAGAGAAGCTCACGCACCGCCCCTGTCGCGCTCCCGCGCAGCAGCGAGTTGTCGCCCACCTGTCAATGAGATGTCACCCGGCGTTCTCCTACCCACAGAGTCCGATGTGGACCAGGTGTCGCGAGTTGAGTTCGAGATCCGGCGCCATTTGCGCTCTCTGTACGTCATCGACAATCAAAAGATCCTGAACACGCTCAGCCAGAAGATTGAGAGCCGGAGAACGTGAGAGTGACCCGGGCGACATCTCGCGGGGCATCGTCAATCTGAGCTTTGGCACCATCGCGCCAGGTGCACGGTGCCGCAGGTCGCCTTCCACACCAGCAGGGACATTGCAGCTCCTGTCCTACTCTGAGCAGCGTGACTTGGCCGCCACAAGAGACGCCGCGCCAGGAGACGTGACTGGACGAGCACCAGTGACGTCACAGCTGCTCCGCCGAGTCGTTAAGCCGAGTGAGCGGACCGGCCTGTCCGCCAGTCATCGGCTGGCGTCCCGCGGAGGACAGCCGGGTGTCGCCGGTGGCGCCTCAGCTTATGGTTTGTCTGTAGTGGCGACGGTCTGCTGGACGGTTCCGCGCGATCGCTGACGTAAGACCGGGTGCTGTGGTCGGACGCGCCGCCCCGCGGCTCGTATCCGTTTGTAGGGAATGTCTCATCCCAGCAAATTCTAGCCTGCGTATGTGGCTGTGTATCACGCACCAAAGGTTATGCTAGTCCTCAATCCACATTTTCTCGGTGAGCTTATGAGCCGCCTCGATGCAATGAGCCGCCTCGACTACCAGCTCCCGTCATTTTGTGTTGGCTCAATATGGTGGAAGGCATTGGCGTATGATAAGGCAGTGGTGTCTTTAACGTGGTCAAACCTGATACATGTGAAACCGCAGTATTAGAACCACGACCTACTCCGCTTAGATGGGTGGATATGTCACCGGTGAGGACGGCTCGCCCGTAGCTCTGTGACCCTCCGACGCCTACCGACTGTTACGCTGCAGAGTCCCTGGAGCGCGGTGTGAGTGCGTGTTATATTTGGATCTGAGCATTCGGAGTCGGAATATTCGAAGGTTTAATCAAGAAATCTGATTAAAATGTGAAGCTTATCATCCAAGTGGTCGGAAATATTCGAACGCTTGTTCAAAGAGGCACACAGATGTGCCCAAAGTCGTTCAATAGTCTGGTTTCCACGAGTGGGCTAGATTTGGATCGGATTTCCTTACTGATATTGCGGGTGGTGTTTCCATCACCGTTTCATGACGGAGCCTGAAGTTTTGAACCCGCATTCCAGAGCTGTTATGTGGATCTGGGCACCATGTATGGCGCACGCGCGACTTTCGTGATAGGAAAATGCGTATTTATACACTGTATTGCATTTAACAGAAACAGTATTTGCACTGCTCTTGAGGCACTTAACAACATTTTTAAAGCTAACAAGACAAGCTAGTTCCAGCATTCCTAATCCTGGGGAAAGTTTTATGCACAGCCAACGCCTTCAGATATGTGACCCCATTCTTCAGTCAGCTTGGATGATATCACGTAGTTTGCACATAGGAAGTTTTTTAATATCATTTATGCTACACTTTCTGGCAATCGAATAGCAAATCATGAAAGTTGTACAAAAACATTCGAATAGCACATCCGTGCCGAATGCTCAGATCCAATTCAATGTTTCACAAACATCGTGCTGAAACAAGAAAAATCTAATGATATGCATATATACATATACATATGTCTAAACCGGACAGCAATCGGTGTCTTAAAGACCCTTGTAACAGGACCATGTTTTTGCCGCAAGTAAGCTTATAAAGCGTTGTGATGTCCGCTTTTATTCGGATTCTCAAGAAGCCCCGGTATCTAAGATGCGTGTAGCTCGGCCGTTAAACTTAGTGAGCCTGGATATCTCTCGCGCTTGTTTTCGTTTTAATTCATATATCCACCACTGAAAGTACAAGTCCGTGCTGTAGCAACCAATGTGGCGCTTGTTTCTGTCTACCGCCTTTTGTAAGTCACGTGCGTCGGTCGGGCAATGTAACCAGGCCGTCATGAGTATTGACATCATCACATCGCCCTGTGTAACGTACCATCCATCCATTCCGTCTACCCTCGATATCAATACAACTGTGGGTACGTTGCTGCTTGTGTCACACGATGTGCTTGACTTGCGAAGAGTCACGCCGCTTCGAGAAAGCTCCACGAGCGTAAATTGACCTACATGCGGATGTGTCAGAATCAAGTCTGTCTTTGCGCTCTTATTCCAAAACAATGCTTTCGAACATGACAGCGCGAATGTGCAAAACTTCTTATGTCCCTCTCATTGTCTTCATCCAGAATGGTATATTGGTAATTTTTATAGACCATGTACTAACGACAATGCCTGTAGCGTGCGTCCCAAACGCACGCACGCACGCAGTGCACGCACGCACCAATACACAACACAACGCATACGTACATGCACACACACACACGCCACACAAATACACACACTGAGACATGACCGGACAAACAACGACACACACACACACACACACACACACACACACACACACACACACACACACACACACACACACACACACACACACACACACACACACACACACACACACACACACACACACACACACACACACACATGCGCGGGCGCACGGAAGCACACACACACGCTCGCAGGCACACACGCACGCACATACGCACGTACGCACACATGCCCTCGCGTGTGTGTATGAATACCCAACGGAAACACGTGGCACAAGGGCAACGCTCTGCGTTGGTGTACCAGTAATTGATGGTGTCTGCCTGGGCGTCCAGAAGACAATGCGTTAGCGGACCGCCATCTCAAGACGTCCGTCTGTGTCGTGCAGAGGTGAGGAGAATGACGCGATGGGAGCGGAGATATCGTCACCGACGGACAGTCCGCGACCGGACATCGGCCGAGCGATCGGGGGCCCCAAACGCTGCCGCCGCTCGGACCGAGCCGAGTGACAGAGGTGCGTTGGCAGCGGGCGGCTGCCGGCCCCGCCGACCGCTGCCCTGTGCCCCCTCCCCGTCCCCATCAGTAAAACAGCGGCGCCCAACTGAGCGGCGGCCGCAGTGTCGGCGCCTCGGCAGCGATGGCGACACGATACCGCCGGCCCGCGTCATGCCGGCGACCTTCGGACGTCAGCGGGCGGCAGGAAATTACCGACGGATCTGCGCCACGATCGCCGCCAGATCACACCGTAGTCGTCGTCCGGCCTGTACCCGTACGGCTACCGAAGCTGGCCGGGATCACGGCCGCAGCTGACCGGGATCACTGCTGCAGCTGACCGGGATCACTGCCAGAGCTGACCGGGATCACTGCCGAAGCTGACCGGGATCACTGTCGGAGCTGTCTTGGATCTTTGCCGGGGCTGACCGGGATCACGGCCGGAGCTGACCGGGATCACTGCCGGAGCTGACTGGGATCACGGTCGGAACTGACTGGGATCACGGCCGGAACTGACAGCGATCACCGTCGGAGCTATCTTGGATCTTTGCCGGAGCTGACCGGGATCACTGTCGTAGCTGTCTTGGATCGCTGCAGACCTGTCTTGGACCGCTGCCGGAGCTGTCCAGGGTCACCGCAGAGTCTCCCTGCTCAGGATGTTGCACTGAACGAATTAAGGAGCGACGTTGTCTAAAGACCAGTAATAACCGACTTCCAGGAATATAAAGCCCGAAATCGGGCACCGAAGTCCGGTAAGGAGAAATCAGGAATTTGAAACCAACAACGAAATACGATACTTGAGTGCCGGGTAGCGATGAGGCGAGGGCAAGCGATGGTCGACATCGATAACCACCAATGTAAGCGCATCAATACATTTACCTCAACTCAGCTCTAGCAATGGCAAATTCCACGCGCTGGCAGTCATACATTAAGAGCTCGAGTTACTCACTCGAACAGAACATCGCTTGTGGAGACAATCATTCAAGCTATCATGTTCTTACTAGCGGCTCGTTTAGAAGCATCGATAATTTACTTAATTTCGAATACAGCAGCATTTGGTCACACGTGGTAGGCTGTGAATATAGAAGAGTCAGATAACGCAAACTTTAACAACATTTAAACTATATATGGTGCCGTTTGGAAAAAGTTATGGAAACATTACACGAACTGACGAACTGTTGAACTGTTCAGGGCAGGGCTGCCGGTGACATGAGTCAAAGGTCTCGAAGACGAATGAAGTTGAGGTTGTCAAAACAGGCTGGCACGATTTGACTATTTCTCAACTTCCATTTCCCCTCTTCACACGCTGATTATGATGGGCGAAATCTCTCTTCTCTAATTACTTAAGAAACGTTTCGAAAAAATCAAGTCCATTGGTTCCTAGCTGTGCTAGTGGTGCAAAGCAAAGACGAGTTCGTTGCCTGTCATGAAAATCTCAATGGCATCCGGCTGTAAGGTTTACAGCTTTCCAAGAAATGTGTGATATTATTTGCAACCAAACATGAGCGTAATATTGCGCTTTCCACACTCATCGTTGCGCGTCAGTGAGTTTCGTCCAAACACCTTTCCCCTTCATTCGTAGCGTAATATATGGACGGTCCGGCGGGGGTTTCTGTTTGACCAGAAAATGGATGCCTTGGACGCTGTGAACTATCCACACCCAGTGAAAACAAAATTATGCTGGTCGTGGTGGTGAGTTGTTTCCCGTCTACACATATGCTGCTTAAACTTTAAGAAAAATGCCTGTGCGAGCGAAACTGAGATTAACCGTACTATGCGTTGATTTTACAACGAATGACTCAAGTGGAGCCAGCGAGTAGTTTCGCTTCCAGAGCGTGCCGGGATTTGCAAACTTATTTCTTCATTATGATGATAACTGCACAGAGAAGTGCTTGGAATCGCAATGTAAGGAATGCAGTGCTTTATGTTTGCAATTGTCGTTCACACCAAAACCAAGGGATAGCATGGGGCATTACGGAGGCACAACCAAGCATCTATCTCCCCAGTCCCTTGCTGTTACTTAAATTCCTTCTGAATGCTTGCTTGTGTAATTATTTGGACTCAACCAATACTATGGTTGGGATTACCTTACGCTGTAATACGTGGCGTCACAAAACAGCCAGCAAAATATCACTCGAAAAATTCACTCTGAGCTAGCTCAGCACTGCTCTTGGCTAGCCATTTGTCTTCGCCGCGTTTTTAAATTGTTCCAAAAACGAAGATGCATTTTCCGTGAGTGATGCATTATGCCCTCCATTTTTGGAGGAGTCTCTATGTCATCGAGTGGCCAGAGCTGCAGTGCTGACTGTGGCGGAGACTAGGTCAGTTGTATTGTAGAATAAGGACGAAGTTGGTGGGTCGTGGATCGGGTATTGTAGACTAAGGATGAAGTTGGTGGGTCGTGGATCGGGTGTTGTAGACTAAGGATGAAGTTGGTGTTCGTGGATCGGGTGTTGTAGACTATGGATCATGATGGTGGATCGCGGATCGGGTGTTATAGACTATGGATCATGATGGTGGATCGCGGATCGGGTGTTGTAGACCTGGGTGATGATTATGAGTTGTGGATGAAGTGTTGCAGACTAGGATGATGATGATGGTGCGTAGATCGGGTGGTGTAGACTATGAATGAAGATGGTGGGTCGCGGATCGCGTGGTGTAGACTATGGGTGAAGATGGTAGGTCATCCATAAGATGGGTGACTAGAGATATCTTATGTTCTGAAAGCGAGCAAAGCTGGAAAACTCTTTTGTAAATCTGGTTTCTTGCACTTTTCAGCCCGGGTTTTCCTTCTGTACAAATTTGTGGGTTAAAATAGCGACATTTTGTAGCTCACAATATCTCATTTACGTCACATTTTCTGGACAAAATCACATCACTCCTGTCCATCGGCCGCAGTTGATGGCGCTCTCAGCAGCACAGATGAGGAGAAAAGCGGCTATCTAGATCCTCTGATCGTAGAGTGCCAAGCCACGCTGAGCGAGCTCTTCGTCCAGCTGACGACCCTCGGCAAGCACCAGCTCGGCCATCCTCGCCCTCCGCACCTGTCAACCCACTCACTTCAGCACCAGCTCGGTCATCCTCGCCTGTCAACCCACTCACGTTAGCACCATCTCGGTCATCCTCGCCTGTCAACCCACATATGTTGGCACCATCTCGGTCATCCTCGCCTGTCAACCCACTCACGTTAGCGCCATCTTGGTCATCCTCGCCCCCCCCCCCCCGCAATCCGTTTAGGTGCAGTCATCGCGTCTGAGGTATTATCATATTACTTCATCTAAGGTCGAGTTGGGCGATCATGGGCTGCTGCTTCCTGAGGGACTCAAATACAGATGGTGATGTTGAATTGGACTGGGTTGTAAATGAGACCTTGTAACCGAACGATGAAGGAAATCTCAACGTTTATATAAAGCAGTTCAGAATGATACACTTTTCACAAAGTCATCCCTTCATCCCAGCAGATGATCTACTGCTCTATCAGTTACTGTACGCTGTATGGTGTTGCTAGGAAATATTTTTGTAATCGTTTTAAAAACACCACAATGCGACTTTGCTTCACTGCTCTCACACGGTAATTTCAACATGCTACTGCACAAGACCGGTCTGAATGGCAGCGAGAGCTGCACCGTGGCCGACTTCGGTATACCTTAGGCGGCTCGAGTAGGTGGGTGGGTGAGGGGGGGGGGACGTCTCCGCTGGGGAACGGCACTCAAAATAAGATATGGGCCAAGTCTGCAGCGGCGGCCAGACGACTTTACCGTTTAAGATACACCCACAATATACATACAAATACACCTCTTGTTAAGTGAATTCGCCTTGGCACCGAGCTACAATGCATTCCTCTGTTGTCATTTTCAGGATTAATTTGTGTATACGACTTTTTAAACTTAAAATGTTTCTGTGATGTTTAAATATATACTCAGAACCCTAACAAGGAAAGGATCGCCTTCCATTTCACTTCATTCACATTCAATAGCCTGGCCACGCGTTTTCTACCAGGATTGAGTCCTATTTTTCTAACGTTTTTGTTTTTCTCCAATTCATCCCTTCAGTTCATTCAAATCCTTGGAGAATACCAGGAATGACAATCAGCTGTGTGAATCGGTCCGGGGCGTGGGATACCGGCCATGGCATGATTGTTTTCATCGGTGCTTTGGGTGGGAAGGCAAGCTTTGAGGATCATTTGACTAAGGAACAGTCATCATGTGCTATGATAAGGCATAAAGGCTCTGTAAATAATGCATTCCTTTGAGCAGGGACGCAGCCAGCATGCATGAATTTGCTATCTCGTCTGCGTCAGACATGTCATCGAACACTTATAAAAATTGAAACCTTTCGGTAGGAAGGGATCTTGGATCATACCAGCCCATGAACAAATGTGCGTTATTGAAATCAATTTGTTGTTGTTCTTGTCGTTGATGAATCGCCGCAGCACAGCCTACCTTTGCCTGAGGAGCAGCTGGACTCATCGGTCATCTCAAAATCAGACGGATCGCAGTGGGAACAGGGCTTACAGAACGGCTGTGTGAATTAGGTGCCTGGGGCAGTCTTTCTCATTACAACATAAGTGACTGTGCCGCGTTTTCTTAGAATATCCAAGACAAAATGCTTCTTCATGTCATCGGATATTCTTAAACCCGGTCCTACGAGGCGCTTCAGGGATCTGCCTTCTTCTCTATCGCAGAGTGACTTCTGAGTGATTGTAACACGAGGAAAGAAGCCTGCAAATGTGTTTTGATGGTACGAAAATGTCAAAATTTCTGTTCTAATGATTTTAATGTGATGCATCTGATAGCTAAACGTAAAAGTTGAGCCAACCGTTAGCATCAGTTGTTTTACCTCGAGCAGAGAGCGGTGGTCCAGCTGGAGCTGCTCACACAGCTGGTGTCTCAGCCGCCGGAGGGCGCTCTGCTCGCGCAGGAACCGCTTGCCCTCACACGCATCGGCGTTCCGCTGCAGGTACTGCTGGCTGAAACAAGAGCTCAGTCAACTGATATACATGGGGTCGCACACTGCACTGAATCTATGCTAAAGTTTGGTTGGTCACAGCAATGACATACCGTGCAACTTCGTGGGTCAACATATTTTACATTTTGGATTGCCGGGAACGGTTGAAAGGAAATAGGCATACTAGGATCTCATGTCATTAATTAGTGTGCAAATCAGTAATAATAATAAAAAGGCATAGTAACAACTTATCAAGTTGTTGTTGTTGTTGTGATGGTTTTGTGCAAACCTTCGATGCCTCAAAAAAGCACTCACTTGGATGTAATGGCCTTTCTTTCCTCTTCCATAATGCCTTCTTTGAACACATTTCTGTAGGTTTTCTCAGCAGTTGTGCTATGACATGTATTTAGCTCCACACGGTAGGTTGTGGCCATCAGAGCATCGTTGGGACCACGTGGGCCAACAGGTGCCCGGGGGTCCCGCTGTGTAGCTGTCGTCGGCGGGTCCGGGTTGTAATGTTTGTAGTGATGCTTTTTGTGCGGCATTTTCCGTTCCTGATGAACGGCGACCGTTTCAGCGGCGGAGACCGAGCGTGTGCGCCCTTTCTGGATAGCCGTATTGTAATTATGCAATACAAGACGACGTGTGAAACAAAATTAATTTAACGAAATCAGTCTGCATCTTGCATTCGGTAATGGCAAGCCTGTAAAAGAATGTATATGATAGTTATGTGTAGATATATAGCAATGCCAGCTCTAGACCGCCATTTGCATTGAATTCCCTGGTTTAATCACGCACTTTGGTTGACATTGCCGGAAGGATTTGTGTTTTTATCTGCGCATCTTGAGCAATGAACCGAAATAAAAGCAAATAAAAATCCGTGACGTCTCACTCCAATGGACTTCCTTGCAAAGGCACCAAACCAAAGGATACCATTTATTTATACCCATCCGGCTTTAACGGCATGTTTTGGTAGTAGTACATGACAGCATACAATAGTTATAGCTTTTGGTCCGGGAGGATCAAAAGTATGTGCTTGTTGACAACAGCTCTCTCTGAGGCTTGATCAAATGATGACTGAGAATGACCCTAATACATGTCCCGGTCTCCACTGGCAATCAATAGTAAGAGCTAGTTGTACAAACAATGTTCACATGTTTCGTGTTGCCGAGGGCAAGAAGAATATTTTTACTCCGATAAGTGCTTCCACAAACCCAACAAATCAAGAGGATCAAAGATATTAAAAGCGTCAGGTGATTCCACGTTCCACCGAGCAAGTGCTAAATCCAAAACTTTATAAAATACCAAAACGTAGGAATACTTAGAGAATGACAGAAACCGGATTTAAAAAACGAGACGCACTTTCTTCTTTCAAGCAACGACTTTGGCCTGGCCTAATCTTTGAAGTGATGGTATTTTGTTTTATCACTGCACAAAAAATGCAGTATATCGACTGGCGCTACTGGTACAAGATACCAGACGTCGCGTAGCACAGTATTCGTCGATAAGTCGAACACCTTTTGTTCTCTACGTCCGAATGACGCATCCAATACACAGGTATAGCAAAATCATCATTCAGTTATCCTGGGTTGCCTTTATTTTTACATAATTTAAATTCAGCAATACCGAAAACGGCATTTGCTTGCTACTCCGCCGTTACGAGCATACCGAACGTAGCATGAATGAGCGTGAGGTGGTGCGTAAAGCACAGTTTGCCTTTGGCGCTGCTTTTTTGACACATATGCACTGCGTCATTGATTCAATCTTCCTTGGGTCTCTCTCCCTCTCTCTCTCTCTCTCTCTCTCTCTCTCTCTCTCTCTCTCTCTCTCTCTCTCTCTCTCTCTCTCTCTCTCTCTCTCTCTCTCTCTCTCTCTCTCTCTCTCTCTCTCTCTCTCTCTCTCTCTCTCTCCGTCTGCCATCATTTTTTGCACTCTTGATCGTACGACTTAGACGTGATAAAGCAAATAAGCCGCTGGTAAGAGTGCGGTTTATTAGCGTAGGTTTCATGCCAATCTAAGCTGTTTCCTCTGAGTAACATTGAACGGATGCCAGATGTCAAGGATCTTCCTATTTTATGCCCCACAATGCGAGGTCGAAGACAATAGATGGCCTTCAATCGGCTGGAGCCACCGCTGTTTTTTATCTCGTCTCTTGCGCAATAAATCGGATACAGCTTCTGACAATAGAAATGTTCTGCTGTGACCTTAATGGGTCCCCTGTATTGTTCTCAACTGGACTAAGATGTCCAAAAGCATATTTTCACAAGCACACCATAACTGCATATATTAACGTTTCTCCGACGTCCTGGAACTACGGTCTCTGACATAATACAACAATGACAGTTATAAATTGCAGGTCCATAATCTTTTGATTATCGCTGAAAGCGTACCCAACCGCTGTTAACATCCATTCGGGCAACCGCTTGAATGAGATGCGCTCCGTAATGGGGACTTGACCACCTCAAAAACAAACAATTAAGGAGGCTGGAAAAACCACATTGCTAGGGTACTTAGGCCGTTGTGTGATCTCAGTCGGGTCAAAGTCTGATGCCTCCAAGTTGTACTCATCTTGTCAAATACGGTATAAAAGTCAGACCTGGCTTCATTGTCCGAAGTGCCAGCAGACATCCTCACTCAGCCAGCTTTGACCGATGCATTCTTGTCGGCAAAAGGTCACTTGAGGTCACATGAGATCACCGCCACGTTGTCTGACTTTCGTGTGGTCAATCTGACCAAAAAACTTTGAGACTATAGTTATATCTAGTTAAAGATCGTGATCAAGAGCTGCCCAAGCCACCACACTCCTCAACGTAAAAGGGTAAGCTCCATCATATAAGATCAGGAAACTCCTAGAATTTACATGAAGTTAAATCAAGAGGTCCAGTGACGGTTTTGCGAACAATGAATTTAAAATCAACATCAAAAAACCTCATGAGGCAAATTTTCCTGTAAAAAGGCGGTTTGCTTTTTAACTTTGATCTGATAATTAGAACTGTCTTATGGTGTCAATGGCATTACTTATAGATATAATTTCAAGTTGTCTAATTTCTGGTTATCTAAGAGGACATTTCGAAATGACCAGGTGGACTAAGTGGTATGACATCGTTTAGTACTCCGATGCTGCATCAGCCTGAAATTTTCCCCAAGAAATGTATTCGCTGGGAATCCTGGTCTGACTTGGGCCTGCTACATGTCAACGACCGCAGAACGTTGTTTTTTACCAAGAGATCGGTCATGTAATTACCTGCAGTCATAACAAGCTTGGCGCTGCCATACCACTCTGTTCAGGAGCTATCTGATAAATATTTTGGGGTCAAATTGAGCCCCCCCCCCCCCTGAGCGCGCGGCGAATATCAGCAGCACGGTGTACTTGCGCGATCAACACTGTTCAACGCCAATCCTCATATTTTGTTTTATTTGCTGTTCTTGTATCAACCTTCGCCGCCATAGCGTATCCATGCCAGCCAAGTACGTGAACCAAGGACGATACATGAAATCCTCAAAATAAGTTGTGACAGCTTGCCATTTAATATACATTATTGGTTTACGCAGCCAAAATTACGGAGGATGTGGTCTAATCCGGACACTCGGATGTGCTTCACAAAGGAATGAGAGAGGAAGAGGGCTGCCGAAGCAATTCTGCTGGCATATTCGCTTTTGTACACCATAGTAACCCTCGCCGGACCAACCTGTCGTCACCTTGCTGAATGATGGTGGCATCGCACGGCTCCCTTTTATTGCAAAAGAAACTAAGCATGCCAGACCGCGCGGAAATGGTACCGGATGGCTCCGGTAGTGCCGCAGCAAACAGGAGTGTGTAGTGTCTCAAAAACAGGCACCACATCTTGTACTCAAATTATTTTGGTAACCATGGCATCAGGTAATAAGCCATGATTCAAAAGAAACTGATGATATTTGTGGGGATTCTCTGCATAATAAGAGGCCACGCTAAAAGCATGCATCGAACTGCTTCGCGCGCTCCCATTGCCCCCCTACCCCCTTCTTTGTCTTTGCAGGGGTATAAGCGGAATTCTAGCCGATTCTCTTGTTTACAATCAGCTAGAATAGAGCGAATCACCGACCAAGTTTACCTTAAATTGGAGAAAAGGAAAAAATAAAGAAGCCGTCTTTACGCAAAAAGCTGAAGCCCTCTGACGTTGTCTTTCTGGACCAGCATGGGAAGGAGCCGCCAGCTGCTGATAGCATTGGCGCAGACTGGACCGGTCGGCAAGGGGTGTGGGTGGCCCACAGGGTCGGCCGGCTGGGAGCGCCGCGGCGCGCTGGTCCGCCCGGCAATGGTTGTCCATGCATTGTGTCAGTTTATAGCGATTCTTCGTTTTTCTATTGATGGTTTCCAATGTAGCGATTCCCCAGGAGAGTGCGGGTGTTCATTTTGATAGCCGACACCACCCAGAGACTTGAGCTTTGTTCGAAGAACCATTTGAGGGCTCCGATCGTTTTGGGACCTTTTTATTAGTTTCTATTGTATGAAGGATTTGACGACCTTTCAAGAATTGATCAAGACCTGGTCAGCTTGGGGACACATGGCAGCCTTATGGAGCTGTAAGGAATGGTTCAGATCAAGTACGTCCCTTTACTTGGTATGTGCTTTATTATCCTCATTAAGTTATATCATCACCCTTATAGCATAATTATTTGCATATATATATATATATATATATATATATATATATATATATATATATATATATATATGTGTGTGTGTGTGTGTGTGTGTGTGTGTGTGTGTGTGTGTGTGTGTGTGTGTGGTGTGTGTGTGTGTGTGTGTGTGTGTGTGTGTGTGTGTGTGTGTGTGTGTGTGTGTGTGTGTGTGTGTGAGACATATGATTACTCATGGCGTACTTTATAATATACACAGGCTTATGCGAAACACGCAGATCGATTGAAAGGCGATGCTGTTTTAGCGCTTGCATAAAACAATTTGCGCGGCGGCTTTCCTCTCTAATATTACGAATCCTGCCTTCACCCGGTGCAGGTTCATGATTTCCCCCAAAACATCCCAGCTGCCAGACCTATCACGTCTTGACATAAGACGTGATTGTGTGACGGTTTGGAGAACTCAGATATCGTAAAGCTCAATAGTAGGGCAAACAGAGCACATTTGTGATCAGGCGATGCATTCCCCAACTGTTACTTCGTCGATGCGTGTCAACGGGCGAATGGGATGTCCCGGGATTTGAGCCCAGGACACTTACACCATGTAATGAGGACTTGCTGACAATTTGTGTTTATTGCTCTCGTCTTACGTTGAAGTTGTTCGCTCTCTGCGGCGTGGTGATAGCTGTATTACATGGAGTGTTAGCTCGGTGTCTTCACTGATATGGTGATGGCTGTATTACATGGGGTGTTAGCTCGGTGTCTTCAGTGATATGGTGATGGCTGTATTACATGGGGTGTTAGCTCGGTGTCTTCACTGATATGGTGATAGCTGTGTTAGCTGTGTTAGTGTTAGTTAGGAGTGTTAGCTCGGTGTCTTCACTGATATGGTGATGGGAAGGGTAACGCCCAAAATTGTAGAGGCATGGAGATTTCAATGGATATTTCAATCACCATCAATCAAGAAATCAGCGTGGTGATTTCAATCGGAATGTGCTATGAATTTCAATGCTATCTCTGTTGATAGCTCATCCTTAATGCCCTTGATGGCTTGTCTTTGATTTAATCGTGTCGTAAAAACATCAAACATTCTTAAAATAGCATCACATCAACATATAACTGTTTGCCCCTGTCGGCTTGTCTTAGATTTAATGGAATCAAGAACAAATGTGCTGTTGACAATTTCAGAAAATAAAATCGCGAGGCTCGTTTGATTGTGTACATGCTTGGATTGGACGCCAGGGCCTGTACCGAGGCAGGGTCATCGTTCGTAGCCGCAGTGCACTCCCGGCAAGGCTATGGATTGGACGCCAGGGCCTGTACCGAGGTAAGGTCATCGTTCGTAGCCGCAGTGTACTCCCGGCAAGGCTATGGATTGGACGCCAGGGCCTGTACCGAGGTAAGGTCATCGTTCGTAGCCGCAGTGTATTCCCGGTGAGGCTTTGCTTGACAGAATTTAGGATAAAACAGCGATTGAGAAAAAGTGAGTGAGGGCGGCCGCGTTCGCCGCCTTCGAGCAGGCGTCCCAATCAAAAAGAGCGATGCTTCGCAAACACGCACCTTGCCCGCATAGCACTACGGCGGCGCCCGTAGTTCCCAGCTCTCCGCTAGATGTCGGGCGGGTGGGGTCTCTCGCGCGCTCCGGCCTGGCGTCGGCCACGGCGCTCAGTACTGGCCGCCAGGCCTGCAGGTGAGCAAGCGACAGCCGTCCGCCGACCGTCCGAGTGTCCGTCCCGGAAGACTCGGAGGGAGCGGCGCCGACGCCAGGTCACCGACGGTTGCCAGCCAGCGGCGGCATTCGTTCGCTGGTATCCGGCCCGTCGCCTGCTGGCCGTGTGCGAGACTGGGAGCGAGCGGCCGCGGCATGTGTGACGTTCACCCGCCGCTGACCGGCGTGTCACTGGTGGGGCCGACCCCCGTCATGCCCCAGGTGCCGGCCGCCTCTGATCTGCCACCCGGATTCATGACGCTCTCAGACGAGGAGCACAGCGCCATGGTACGCCGGCAGCCCATCGAGAAATACTACGAGATATACCCGACGCCAATATCCACGTAAGTTGACCGCCTCGTGGGAATCGCCGTGAGAAACTGCATCGCTATATGACCTGAACTGTTAAGGTGTCGCCAAACCCCCATCAATATCAACGCAAGTTGTCGAGATAATATCCCTTTTGTTCTGCGTTTCCCCAACGATTATTTCTCCTCTACTTACGACTTTTTCCATGCAGCGACGATTACATGATCTTAGCACTTCACGTTATCCGTGATATTTTTTTGCCCGTCAGGTCCCTGCCGGGTGCCACAATATTGTTGCCACATTTGCTCTGCGGCGCGCGCCACCTCAACACCAGATAAGGCGATGCAGCGCGCGTATCTCAGAACCCGTGACTCATTAAACCGGGCACGCGGACTCGATAGGCCAAACAGAGCCGGGCGGCAGACTCGTTGCGCGCGGGCTGAGTCACTTCCTGCCACTCAGCTGGAGTGGCAGAGATGCGGAGAAGACGACCTCCGAGGGCTGCTGCGGCGGCCGGATCGTCGACCTGCGCTCAGATAAACACCTCACATCAATATGAGACACGTGCTGGTTTTTGCTCCACCAGCTATTAAGCTATGATGGCGAGCAGAATTGCGAGATGGTAGCGGTCGTCTTTCCCATCAGACAGACGTTGCGCACCCCTCTGTCTCGATGAGGTACAAACTTAAACAAATGGGTCGTAAGACTGGTGCTGCCACCAACCAGCATGCTGCATTACTTGCTGAGGAATGTAAACAACATCACATTCTAGGCGTTTTGTGCAACGCAAGAAGGACCCGTGGCGATAATTATGCTTCAGCAGCCACTGATCTTCTTGCAGCAAACAAACATTCATTGTTTAAAGCCGTTGATGACAAATAACGAATTTGATGCAACGCATGCCTGCCTGATAAATTAACGTCACGCGTTGTGAACTTTAGTTTGATCAGATGGTCTTAGGTCAAAACGAGGTGACGACGACTTGGGTCATATTCCCCGGATAGCCAGTGACTGCATACATTGTGATACAGCAATTGGTGCTCACACGCAAAATGTATATATATATATATATATATATATATATATATATATATATATATATATTGGTAAAGGAATGCCACCATTATGCAAATAGCCGTCATGCATTGGAAATATTTACAAAAATCACTCGCTCATGTCTGCATGACCGAACGCGTGCGAAAACATCGCCTGCCAGAAACAGGCCGGCAGCAGCGGTCCTGGCAGCGCATCACCAGACAGAGAGGCTCAGCCGGCAGCCGCGGTCCTGGCAGCGCATCACCAGACAGAGAGGCTCGGCTTATCCTTGTCGTTTGCTGGATGCCTTGCGCACAAACCCCACTCGCAGTTCCCCATCAACGTGTCTCAGTACACCGCTCAATGAGCTAAATCCGGGATTGTTTTGTGCTACCGTCATAGTACATACCTGAATCCAACGGCTATACTGATCGCAGCAGCTTGTGGAGCAGCACTCGAAAACAGCATGGGTGCTGACAGCGTTTTCAAGCCGAAATGCGTCATCTCTTCCTGTCATGGTGGATGGCTAGTTGCGTGCTCCAGAATGAAAATGCAAGCTCTCTTGGAAATATCATGGACGGTAGCCTCTGGCATTCTTTGAAGCTTACGTTAATGCTTCTAAGAGGATTTCATGAGCGCCGCTTGTTGGCAGGCATTACTTTGATGCATTGTGATAGTTGTTCCCGGACGGCAAGGACATTTGGTGGCTTATCTTAAGCTAAGCTGCATATTTGCAGGTAGTTACCTTGCTTTTATATCACGCAAGGTCGAATGCATGCTTGTTATCGCATCTTTATACTCGTTTCTTTTTGGTGCCACCTGGTAAGGCATCGACACCGGGACCATCTGCTCACACGCATGCCTATAATTTTAGACACATTTGAATTTGACAGTTTTTAAGCTGTTCCTAATTTAAAGAAATGTGATCCGGCTTATTACCAGAGCATTTTGATGCATCGCTCGAGCTTCAAGTCCGGCAATGGCTCAAAAGCACAGGCTCTTTGCATCCAGGATGGTTGTTTGGCGTATGGCAGACCTTGGCAATGATTGTCTTCTCTTTCCACTTTCAAGTCCTGCGACCGATCGTGAAATAGTGTACACCCTCACCCAGTTCTTGTGCGTTAACACGGTGCACATATGAGCACACACGTGACCACCAACCGTTCCATTATGCGGGCCGTTCGGAAAACGTCTGCACGCCTTGCAATGGGTTCTGCTTAACCATGCACGACCGGCTTGCAGCCTTAAGCGACGCGACTGAACGATTGCAGAATGTGATCGTCTGCGCCTGGCACGTAGCAGAGTGTGATCGTCTGCGCCTGGCACGTAGCAGAATGTTATCGTCTGTGCCTGGTACGTAGCAGAATGTGAGCGTCTGTGCCTGGCACGTAGCAGAATGTGATCGTCTGTGCCTGGCACGTAGCAGAATGTGATCGTCTGTGCCTGGCACGTGGCAGAATGTGATCGTCTGTGCCTGGTACGTAGCAGAATGTGATCGTCTGTGCTTGGCACGTAGCAGAATGTGATTGTCTGTGCCTGGCACTGTCTGTGCCTGGCACGTAGCAGAATGTGATCGTCTGTGCCTGGCACGTAGCAGTTTGCGCTTGACGTCATTGGGGCCGCCGACAGAGCTTGTGGCGTCGATTGAATAGCAATGTGCTTTGTTTGGGCTCGGGAGGCCCAACGTACCCACGCCCGATCACGGGCGGGACGCACCCACGCCAGGTCACGGGCGGGACGCACCCACGCCCGATCACGGGCGGGACGCACCCACGCCAGGTCACGGGCGGGACGCACCCACGCCAGGTCACGGGCGGGACGTACCCACGCCAGATCACGGGCAGGTCGTTCAACATCCCTAACCGATAGATAGCTGCGACCGGACTAGCCTCTACCTGCTCCCTGTAGAACGCATGCCGTTGGCCGCTCGCCGACAGAGTCTGCTGGTGACGCGGCTGAGACAGACACCGCCTCGCGGAATCTGGCCATCATATTCGTGACACCTGTCGACTGCGGCGGGCGTTGAAGAAGCTCGCAATCGAGGGGCACTGTCGGCTGTCGTCCTATCCAATGGCCGGTCCGACCGCCAGGCCCGCAACCAACAAGGGGGGGGGGGAAGGGGGCACTGTCCGGCTGTCGTCCTATCCAACGGCCAGTCCGACCGCCAGGCCCGCAGTCAACAGGGACTACCAGGTTGCTGGCCTGAGTCGGGCAGCCGCCAGCAGGACCGCCTCGTCGCCGGGCCTGCGTCCGCTCAGTCGTGCCAGCAGTTGGAAACCAGAGCCGGTGCCTCTCAGTTTACCCGAGCGTGTTGTGTGCTAGCTTGCCTGGGCTTGTCATTTGACTGACCTCGCCGGGACCTGTCGTTTGCCGGTCGCGGTGCCTCCGGGGTCAGCCGGGCGTGCCGTGTGCTGGCTTGCCCGGGCCTGTCGTTTGCCGGCCGCGGTGCCTGCTGGGTAACCCGAGCGATAGGTCCTGTCAGTCCACTGGCGAGCGGGTTTTTACGGCGGACGGCAGCGGCAGGACCGCGTGTCCGGGGGCCCACCCGCACCGCCGCCGGACCCGCACCGCCGTCACGCGACCGTACTGCACTGCAGCCGATCCGGGCAGCGATGGCTAAAAACAGCCCTGTGAGGTCAAACAGGCTCATTCACTGTTTGGCCTCAAAACCGGCTTGTTCATATCTTGATGTCTTGACAGTGATGCTGTGTTCCAAGGGAGAGCAGCACCTTTCGAGGCCACCCAAAAAAGGTGCGTGATTCATCAGCGAGAAAAGTTATTACAGACGTTTATGGGCCGGCTGAGACAGCAGCTGCCCCGTACTGGACGGGTGAATCCACGGGTGGGCGTGAGATTTTGGTACTGCGGGCACCGGTGTGGGCAGGGGTGTGGATTTTTCAAAGCACCGGTATGAGTACGGGTACCAGCGTAACAAAATGCCATCATTTTCATAACCACCGCCCTGATAGGGAGGTCGATACCTATCCCTTCCCCCCCTCACCATTAGGTTTTTTCTTGTGATATTTTTCTGCCATGTCGTGTAAGTGCGCTGTTTTGACACAAAAACGTGTTTCTGGCCTTTCTGGTTGCTGAGTTTGGACGCCTTGTTAGGAACGCTGTATGGTGATCTAAGACCTGCGCGGTCGGTAGGGGATAACCGATGAATTCACCGATTGCGGGCGGTGGAACGACACTAACATTTACGGAATGCTACATCGTCAAAATTTGCCGAAAGCACCCAAAACCACATACCAATATATCCAAACTTAAGGAAGGATTATATATATATATATATATATATATACATATATATGCATGTATCACTTAAGTTTTCCTACCTTGCAATGCTTCTGCTCAATTAGCATGTTAAGTTACAAAAATCCAGTTTTCGAGAGAATCAAAATTTGACCCGGCCCCGTGGACACTGCTTTTTTTTGTTCTTTACGGGGTGCCATCATCTTTAGATTAGAAATGGTGGGGGATAGCACCGACACCTCCCTCTTATCCGTTTGTGTTAGAAGACGGCTAATTCAGGCAAAAGTGGCGTGTAAAACTTCCCAGATCAGCCCGCAGAGAATACTGAAACAGAGAGAGTGCAGAGCAGGAAAGAATTCTGCAATAATAGCCTCCATCTCCCGCGTGACTAATGCCAACAAACAGGATGGATATACAGCAACAAACCAGCTACAGCTAACTTGACGTTTTTGAAACCGATCTCAAGTCCAAAAGGCTGTGGCCTAAACGGAGAAAGAGATCAGTCATGCCTACACAGTTGTTTGGCCCGTCTTATTGTGATCATTGTCATCCAAAACGTGTGCATTTTCAGCACTTTAGTTACGCTTAAAAAAACCGTGAATCATCGCGAATCTATCGAAGGCACCAGTTCATATCATGATGCCTGATCAGAGAGGCAGATAGACATTTTTAACTCAAACTATTTGTTATATTGACGTTTCATTGCTGCGTCACTGGACCTGCGCGCGGTAAACTTTCTTGAAAG